CTATGTTGAAATCAATACACGAAACCATTCTTTCAGCTTGTGGCAAGATAAGATCCAACATAAAGGAACAAGATGCCAGCTTAGATATACAAACCCAGACCTTGACTGCAACCAAAGAACTAACAGTGCAGAAAATAACAGGAGAAGTGGAACAACCAAACACAAAGACAGAGGACCCAACTGACCAACAGATCCAGTCAATGGAAAAAACAGAAAAGGGAGTGACAACATTGAAAATGGAAAAGACTTTTTATATAAATCAGAAGAAATTTGAGGAAAAGGAAGAAGAACAGATTGAATGGAACATAAACTGATCAGGACAGTTGTGGGAAATTGGAGTAATAGGGAGGCAATCTAATGAATACAAATGAGCTAGTTCTTCCCAAAAAAACTGCAACCAACTGGTCTTTCTTATTCCAAATAATACATATAATAATAGAGGGAGAACTGTTTTATGATTCAAAAGTACTAACATAGAAGGTCAGTTGGCAAAGGAAGAAAGACAGAGTAAGGCTAAAGGAAACTAGGGTTTTGATTTATTAGAGGGGATTTCATATTACTGATTAGAGGGTTGAATATGGTAGGAAATAGATAATTTTTAGAAAATAAAGTAACATTATAATTGAATAGATAAGATGTGTAATAAGACTAATAGACCTTTGGTTTAATATGGTGGAAAATAGATAACTTTTAGAAAACAGAACAAGATTATATGCAAATAGATAAGATGTGTATTTAGAATATTAGATTTTGTTATGAAAATGGAAAAAGGAAGAAGTTGAGATAAGGGAAACTTTGGTTACCTGAAGTAAAAATTATAAATACCAAATGTTAATTTGAATATTGATGGGAAATTAAAGCTTGGGAAAAAAGTAATAATAGGACATTGATTGTATGTAAGGATTGAATGTAAACACAATTAAGATATGTATAAGCTAAAAATTATTGATAAATGTAATAAAGATGGTTTTATTTAGTTGATAATAATAATAACTATACTAGCCTAATATGAGATAGTAGATATTAAGGGAAAAAGAGAGGAAATATCTGATGTTATAACTTGAGATTTGTACTAAAGATTTATGTATGTTATTGAATTACTGATTAACCCAGTCACTATGATGCTTTTTAAATGTTTAATTGTAAAATTAGAAAACTAATAAAATATTGTTTTAAAAAAGAGAATAGCTGGAAAACCTTGATAGTTTGACTAGGTTTGGGTGAGGATCTGAAAGTATAGATGGAGATACAATGATATTGGCATTACAGTTCCGTCAGGAGTCAGCTTCTTGTTCCAGTTGAACACCTGGACAAAGCTTATTTCCAAACAAGATCAAAAATTATTTAAAAGAATCAAGCTGTAATTACTAATAAATCAAAAGACTTTGTGATTCTCTATTCTCTATCAATATTATTGTTAAATTTGAGGATGATACAACAATGGTTGGGCTTACTATATCTCCAAGGGGGATGAGTCTGCCTACCAGGATGTGACAATAATTTGTTTCTCAACACAATTAAGATCAAGGAGTTTATAGTAGATTACAGGAGGAATAGATCAGACATTCAGCTCCTGATCATCAAAGGAGACTGTATGGAGTGGGTGGTCAGCTTTAGTTTTCTGGGTGTTATAGCATTGGTTAAGAAAGCCCAGCAGAGATTATGTTTCTTGAGACTTCTCAGGAAACAACAACTGAATGAAAAACTGCTGGTGACCTTCTACCGCTGCTCCATAGAGAACATTCTAATCTATTGCATTTGTGTGTGGTTTGCTTGCTGCACAGTAGCAGATAGGAAAGCACTCCAGAGGATCATTACCATCGCCCAGAGGATTATTGGCTGCCCTCTCCCCCTCCCCCGATGAACTGTACAGTTCCCGTTGTCTTAGGAAACCTCAAAATATTCTTAAAGTCTCATCTCATCCCGGACATTCCTTTTTTGAACTATTACCTTCTGGATAATAAAAAGAAAGACAAATAGGCTGAAAAATGGTTTTTATCCCAGAGCTGTAACCATATTAAATACCATAGTATAGTGCCACATTGAAGTACAATATTAGGGGCAGCGCAATGGTGAATAGAATGTGAAGGATGTGTGTATATAATGTATGTTCTTATTTGTGGTTTTTGCGCGTGTAGTGTGCACTGTGGACAGCACTGAATTTCATTGTGAGTTACACAATGACAATAAAGATATTCTATTCTAGTCTAGTCTAGTTTATTCTATTCTATAGATGGCAACAGCCTCTAGTGCAAAAATTCATATGCATATACAGTATTCCTTATACCATGCTATAAGTATGACAAGTAAATTAGCATGCTATACATTTTGAATAAAACCTTATACCATTTTTGCCAATTGAAATGTTTTTTTTTTCAGGTTGAAAAAGAAATGTATAATGTGTTTCCCCTGCCTCCTCCTCTCCTCTCCTCTCCTCTCCTCCCCTCCGCTCCCCTCCCCTAAGAATGGATAATTTCTTCCCTTAAATCTGCTAGAAATAGCTGATGGATCTCCAAGAAGCTTTGGGATAAAGGGATGCAGGGTTCTGTTTCAAAAGCATACTGAATGCTTTTGAATTTGTTTTCTCAGTGGCATTAAAAATCTATGTGGCAGGAACTTCTTGAGCTGTCAGAAATTCTAAATAGAGAATACTATCAACAATGTACCTGTTTCCGAAGATATGCTTGGTCCTGGGGGATCTTTATTCATTTGGTTGCATTGTTCTGAATAGTAAGTAATCTATTTAAACTGGGTCTTATGTATATGGTAAACAGTTCAAAGCAGTGAATTTGCGTTATATTTATAGAATTGTCTTTGCATAAACATTTATGTGAGGAAAAGTGAGAGGGAGATGTTTAATGTATTAAAGGCACACTTCATAGTATTGTGGATTGTAGATGTGATACATTTCAACATCAGTCAGGAAATTACAGAAGTTGAAGTCTGTTATATCTGCAGGCCATTGAATTGGAGAAGGCTGCTTTAAACTGTTTATAGCTTTCCAAGTAATTTAGGATACTTTTAATATTTAAAAAAAAACCTGTAATCTTCTGAAAGCTGCTTTTGGCTCTTTTCTACTTTTTTAAACTAAAGCAGTAATGCTTTTAAATTGTAGCCCTCATCATTTCCAGAATCATATTCATAATTTCTTTAAGTTGTAGGGGACCTCACCTTGAAATAATGGCTATTTTATTATTTACTAGATACTGAAGGGCCACTAATTGTCATGCACATCTATTGTCTAAAGCCGTGGTGATGAACCTATGGCACGTGTGCCACAGGCGGCATGCAGAGCCATCCCTATGGGCACACGTGCCATTGCCATGGAGGGACAGACTCCTCCCCTCCCCCTCTCCACGCCTGTGGAGTCTGCGAGAATTGGGCGGGGTGAGGGAACCTATAAAAAGAGCAGTTTTGGCGAGAGAGTGAGTGAGCGGCCTTTGGAAGGGTGGGCTTCAAATCATTTAACAAACGGTTCTCTGCTTCGCCTTCCCTCCGTCTTGGTCGGGCTTGGCTGCTCGGAGGGTCGGTTGGGGTGGGGGCAGGAGGGTGGAGATCATCAGGTCCCAGCTGGGGGAAGGCGAGGGGGTCTCGCTAGGGGGGGTGGGAGGGCCGGGACGTCTCCACAGAGGAAAGCCACCCCCCCCCCGCCGGCCAAGCCTCTCATCTACACTGCGGTCACATAGGATTGCATAGAAGGGCACTGGGCAGGAGGCTGGGGGGAGGCCAGCAGGGGGGAATCAGAGCCGCTATTTCCCTTCTGCAGTGCAGCCCCATTGGCATGGGCCAGTGAGCTCATGGGGGCCGACAGTGTCCGTCAGCAGCCACAGCATGCTGGCTGTCCTGCCTCACCTTGCCTTGCCTCGTGGCAATTGGAACACCCTCCCTGCCTCGCCTCACCTCATCCCGCAGGATGAGCCTACGGCCCACTGGCCCACCCGCCAGAGACCTAGATCTCCCCCAACCCTGCCCGGCCCCCACAGGCATCCCTCTCCACGAGCATCATCGAGATGGCCACACCCACCCAGTCGGCCATGACCATCGTAGCCATGCTCACCCAGTCAGCCATGCCCACACGGCACACGGCAATAAATAAATGGGGTTTGGGTTGCAGTTTGGGCATTCCATCTCTAAAAGGTTCGCCATCAGTGGTCTAAAGCTACTTAATTTGCCATTATATTGAGGCTTGATGAAAGCAGCCATATGTATTTATCTGGAGATAAATCAGTGGAGCTTAACTTGTCAATAAACATATATGTTGGGATGAAACATTAGCTAGAAAGTTCTAGATCAAAGCTTTCCTCCTTTGCCATGAGATGTGATGAAACTTAGTCTGGATTCACAATGTGGAGTGCATTCCAGCAAAATAAAGAGGCTACTCCATTCAGATAGTTTGTATGAGAGAAAGAGGATGAAGACAGTCCCTTTCCAGTAATTCTCAGAGTATATGCTTGATGTAGATAGTAAAATGTTTCAGTTTGGCAAGGTTCTATCTGTAAGAACAATAAGGAAATCTGCTTGGAAGAATCACTACATGTCTTTCTTGATTTGGGGGCCTGAAGTAAGCTATAGCATCCAGTACACATTCAGAGCAAATATTACATTTGGAAAACCAGCACAATGACTGGCAAGAGTGACACATGCAGTCAAAATTAAGGGCTACTTGTTATAATATTTTGCTATATACTGTAAGTACTTCTGTGTTGAAAACAGCATGCTAACCTATCAATACATAATTCTGCCTTTGATTCTCAAGTAAATATCCGTAGTTGAGAGACATATGCCCTTATCCATCTGTTCTCCCCTTCCAGGGCCAAAATGAATTAAAATATACATAGTAAATCGCTTTTCAGAAAACCATTCCATCCCTGAAATAATAAATTGCATTACAAACACATGTTACAAAGACAAAATTATTAGCATCTTAAAACAAATATATTACAAAATGATGCCAATTATTGTTAAGCAATATTAATGTTACTGTTTTCTTTTTTTTACAGCTGTATGGGGAAATGTGCTCAACATGAGGTAATATTATATGCTTCTCTTGTACATATGTATAGTTATAATATTTTTTTCTTTCAAACTAAAAGGAAATATCTCTTTGTTGCTTATTGCTAGAAAAGAAGGTGGGGAAATGGTAGCTAGTGTGATTCATTTCTATGATGGGAGAGGTCACCTTTGATCACACATTTGTGGATGAATTGAATACATGCATCATTTTACCCCTTTAAAGGGGCTGAACATTTCCATCAAGCACAGGATGTGGTGTTTCGCATTTAAAGCAGGGAAAACGTTCCATCTAGAATTCCACATTTGAAGCAGGAAAAATATTCCATCCATAATGATTCTGCTGGTCACACACCACATTTGCTTAATCTGAGAGAAGTTGTTCTTTCAGAAAAAAGAACAGTGAAGAATAAAAATGGAACAAGGAAACTTACATTAAGTTTGTTCCAACAAAATTAATATTCCTGCTTTTTCATTCCTCATTCTTTTCCAATTTTCCAGATATTAATTCCTTATATTTTTACAAACCTTCTTATCTCTTACATTGCCCAAAACCATTATTGTATTCTCCCTTCTGCTGAAGAGGTGGCTAGGAAGAAAATAGAAATGGTATACTATAATACACATTCCTTTTCCATAATAGTAAAGTTGTAACATTTCAGGAAATTTTGATTCTATAGTTAATGTTGGGAATTTGCTGTTTGCTGTTATGAGACTAAAATATTTTAAGCATCTTTTGTAAATGATAATATGTTAAAGCAGTAAACATATATATTGTATGAATTACCCTTACTGTCCACTTATTTATTTTTGTTCTTAAAAAACATGTAGCACTTCTGATTGTAAGATAGAAACAAACTATTGTATATATGAGCACATTCGTTAAGCAGCTCTGCAAATCTTTAAAACAGCTGATCTTTTTCAGGGTTTTATAGCTGGTCCTACAATGCATTCTGAGGGAGGGAAAAAAGCATTTGCTTTGGAATTTAAAGCATGGCACAACCCTGTGGGAGATAATATAACTCTACCATTAAGCATGGGATGGAAATTTATTTTAGGGAACAGCTCCTAGTTTGTGGATTTCTATAGCTTCTTGGACATCTAGAGCAACACAGTCCCCTTCCATATCCTTTCCATATAGCTTGTACAGTATTCTAGCACTATCCTACTGGTTAGCTCCATTCCAAAATATTTCTTTAGTACTTGTTGTATCTATCTTCTTGTACCCTGTTGATAGGATTTTGCCTACAAATCTTCAAATTACGCCATTTAACTGACTCAACGCTCACTGTGAGATACATTTCAGAGAAAATATGTTGTAAGAAAATCTTTTAAACATTCCACACAAACCTATAAGAAAAGACCATTAAAGGGAAAGAATAAATCAATTCATCTTGTTTTCTTCCAGACCATAATGTTTTTCAGTGTAGATATTCTGGAATTCTCCCTAAGTACATTGGAAAAAGTAGGTTCAGATGAAAAGTAGTGACAAACCAAAAGCACTTAGTGAACGTGTGACATTGTGTACTATATATCTGAAGTCTACTTCAAACTCTGGAATTAGACTTTTTATGTGGCAGGGTCCATCTCATGAGCTATGTCTCAATTACCCGCAAATGTGGGGACTTGGGGGGGGGGTAAATAAAAATTTAAATAAAATTAAATTAAAAATAAATAAAAATGACTCATGTGAACAAGATTAATCATATTTTTATTTCTATACTTTCCATTTTTAAACCGTATAGCTATTTCATAGACAGTCTTCTACACCAATGTATACCTCTGACTTTTTTGCCTGCAGACAAAATGTGTAACTGACTCTTAATAAATTAATAAATACCACTCACACTATCGCTCCTTAATTAAACTTTGTTCTTTCTCTAGTTCAGCGGTTCTCAACCTATGAGTTGCGACCCCATTTGGGGTCGAACGACCATTTTACGGGGTCGCCAAACAATGCGACCTGCCATTTTTCCCCCTCAGGGGGCGCCGCCACGCATGCGCGCCGTGCATGGGGGCGCTGCCGCACATGCGCACCCCGCCGCGCATACGGGGTGTATCCGTGTGACCGGGGGGCGCCATATAAAAAGGTTGAGAACCACTGCTCTAGTTATTTCAAGGAATGATAAATATCCTTAATTTATCCTCACAACTGTCCTATGAAAATGTCTAGGTTATGAGAGAACCTTTCTCTCTTCCCTCACTTGAGGTTCATGCTGCCTGAACCATGGTCTCCCCTCTTGGCGAAATGATTTATCTGCTAATCCCATTAGCTCTCAGACTGAGCTAATGACTGAAAATGTGAAGAAAGAAGTATTATCCTACTGCTGAAACTGTCAATGTCTCTGAATCTTCCACGCTCTTTTAACATCACAGTATTTAAGTAGACTATGTTTTATTCTTTCTGCTTTCTGTAAATTACCTTGAGCACCTATTCATACAGACCAGTGATGGGATTCAGCCAGTTTGCACCACTTCAGCAGAACCGGTAGCTAATTTTTTGTTGCCCAGGCCCAGAATGGACTTCCGGAAGCAGCATCCACACAGAGAACCAGTTGTTCACATATTTGAATCCCACCACTGATACAGACTCTATTCTCATTAAAGCATAGTTGACTTTGTTATATTCACAGGATCTTACTTACAACCTGGCTATATAAAACAAACAAAAATAGATACTCCTAACATTCCTAGGTGATGCCTGTTGTCCCTTCATATTTAAATAAATAAAATTGCAAAGCTTCAAACATTAACATGTTCCCTAGTTTTTGATTTACCTGACATTTCAAGCTTTTTAAACTTTTTATACTCAACACATTATTTAAAATTGAGCTGAGAATCCAGTAAGTGACTAAGGTTTGAGTCTTTGATTCAAAATCACATCCCTGTACCTCTCATTTATTTTTGTGGGGCAGATTAGGTATTGAGTCAGTGTTGACTAGTCCCTGCAGCGTTTTTGGCAACATTTTGGAACTGCCATGGAAATAGCCTTGAGTTCTCGAAGGAAAGGCACCAAAAAAAATAAATAATATTTGCTGACCTCTGAACTTTATCAGCATTCATGTATAATGTTAAAATCTTACTTTAGCACTTCTGATTCATCTATTTATTCTCTTCCCACCCATCCACGTGGAAGGAGAAAATTAGAAATTATGGTGGCATTATTTATGTCTGAACACAGACAAACTGTGGTCATTGTTAATAGTTGGTGTGGTGACAAGTGGCTTCTTTTCCAAAGAACATTAGAACAAAAAACATTAACATAAATTCATGAATTTGTAATGTTTTACAGCATGATTGTGGCTTGGCATGTTTAAAATGTTGCTTTCTTTCTTTGGTCTCCTATCCAGCAGGTTTATCCAGGATAATGGAGATCAAAAAGTAGAAAATAAAATTGAAGAGGTTAGTAGACTATGTTCTCTCTTTTTTTCTTCCCCTGCTCCCTTTTAATATTTTGCTTTGCATTAATAAATCAATTTTCCACTTTATTCTCTTAATACTTCCTCTTGAATTGAAGAAATTTCTTTTCATTTTGCTTGCAAAAGAAAAAAAAGTTCAAGATGACTACAATGGTTCAAAGTGACACACATAAAAACTAGGTGGTTCAAATACAGATAAAAAACAGGTATTTGAAGCTATCTTGATTTTTTTAAAAACTGCATCCTTCCACTTGAAAACTTACAGAAATTCCCAGCTCCACCCCTGTAGCCTGCTTTGTCAAGCTTCTCATGTTGATTGGGGTTGAAGGAGAATAGTTGTGTGTTTCTTCTAATAATAATGTCCTCATATGATACTAACATGTACATCAATTCTTAAAAATGTAATGCATACTTATATGCCACATAAATAATCATATCCTGATCTTCAGACAAATTTTCTGGGTGCAATCTGCATCAGAATAGGTTGTTTTGATTTTATATTAATAGTTTATCCTGGTATTTTTAATTTTAAAGAGTCTTTGCTGTTGCTAAAATGCAAGTGGATTAGATCAGGAGTGTTAAACTGCCGGCCCACGGGCCGTATGCATCATAGCAAAACCACGCCCACCCCATTGCCACAATGGCAAAAAAGTCACAATACATCATGACACGTCACATGACCTTGCAAGTTTGACTCCCCTGGATTAGATCATGACTGTGAATAACTGATGAAATCAGTGAGGTTTATCTTCATCATCAATAACTTAAGTCTCAATTATTTCATTTGACCTGTTCATAATATAGCTACAGTAAGTTCAAAGCCATCCCAATATTTTCAAAGGTTTGTTTGTGTGTGTGTAAAACATAATAAAAACACCACATGGATGTGAACTATGGAACATATTTGAATATTACAAGTAGGTAATTACTGTTTATAATATAAAATATCATTAGTACAACTGGCAAAACCTATTCTGAATGTGTGATTGAAACATAAATGAATGAATTCTAGCCATTTTCTCCAGAATTATATTGATGATCACTGAATATAATTCAGAATATACATAGTATAATAATTAAAATGGGCTCCTTGGACACTCCCAGTGAATTCCAGGGTTGTCTTAACATGGTTGAAGGGCTCTTTGGAGGACATTTGGGCTATAAAAGGGGGGGAACCACCAAGGGGGAGTCCACTTAAGATAATGTTGACTATATCTAGAATGTATTGAGGGATTTGGGTTTTTTAAAACAAGGTTTGTTAGAACTTAACATTCCAACTAGGAAGGTAGCAAAAAAATGTGGCAGAAGGGAGTGTCAAAGAAGAAGGTGTCCACAGTGACCATGAAGGACAGGAATGAAGGCAGGTGCCATAAGGGTTGCAGTTTGCCATGATGACTCGGAGAGTATTTAAGGAAAGCAGGCAGGCTAACCAATTGTCAGTTTATTTTTGTTTACTTATTTATTAACTTTATATGCCATCAAGCTCTTTAATCAAAGCAACTCTGGGACACTATTAATCACTTGTATCTTTGTGCAATAATTTGATTAGTTCCAGATGAAGCTCAGGAAAGTAGCAATTGGATGTTTTCTATGCTGATCTATGACCATTATAAAGATTTGATTTGATGCTTTTGGGGTTTGGACTCTGTCCTTTATTGCCACTACCACTTCTGCCCTTTACAATTTGAGAGATTATTATTAAGAGATTGGCAACACTCTGTCCATGATATCCCTGAAATATTTAAAATGGCTTATAATGCCTCTATTCTCTACAACTTGTCATTTTAAATGGAAAATATATTTATATAAAATTAAAAATAACTTTTAATTTTCTTTTAGGTTATTGCACCTCTAAGGGAAAAGATCCGAGAATTAGAGAAAAGGTATGCCAATTTGTGCTTTCAGTAGATCATCTTTTGTTTTATTTTAAGTTAAAACAAGGAGCATATGTCAGAATATTTGATCAGAGTGCCATCTTGCTGTACTGAAAGAAAGTCTGTTTGCAATAAATGCTACTGTCTCTAATGGTAGTATTAAGTATAGATAGTCCTCAGTTAACGGCTGCCTCATTCAGCAACCATTCTAACTTAGTGCTGAAAAAGTAGATAAATAACCAATATTGTGCAGCATCACAATTCAGGTGCTTGGCAAACAGCATGCATTTACAGCCATCATAGTGCCCCATGGTCCTGTGATTGCAATTTTTGTACTTCGCAGTTGGCTTGCAATAAACAAAGTCAATGGGAAAGGAAGTTGCAAGTCACAATCACATGACCTCACACAACAATGATGGTGATTCACTTAACCACAGCAAAACTGATATAAGTAGGGCACAGTTATGTGACTTTGTGTGGTGTTCTAGATAGGAATATATCTTAGCAACAAAAAGTAGTAGCAACTTATCATTGGTGGCTTATCAAACCAATCACATAATCCTGTAGAACTGTATTCTGAAGTTCTGCTGTGTTCAGTGAGATTTACTCCTCAGATAAGTGTAAATAGATTTGCAGCCTAAAATACACAATTTTCTTCTGAAGGACAAGAATTTAAAGTTAAATATGACAGCATAACAATGCTAAAAGGAGGAAAGTAGAACTAAATTGATTCTTCCTTTAATTCTCTTCTGCAAATGTCAGCACATCATGTTTTATAAATATATTAATATTTGGAGTTCATTTTGAAAGTAAATGCAAGAATTTTGCATGCAGTAAATTTCAGCAATAAACATTGATTTACCATATCTGGCAACTTGCCTCAAATCTCTGTAAAATTTTGACAGTCTGTAATAGCAAGCAGTATATTTTATTCTAAATTCCACTAATAAAGTATTTTCTTCTAAGGTATCTATTCCAAATTGAATGCTGAATTATAAATGGAGGCTTCGATATTAGATTCTAAATGTTTTTAAAAATCTTGTTTTCTTTAGACATATTTTGGCTACATGACAAATTGAAAACAAATCATTGCAGTTATTTTAATTCTGAACTTAAATTAATGTGGAAATCAGAATTTAAGTATTACTGTAAATTAAATACTAAAAACTATCAGCATTTTTTGGTCACTGCATGTTTGTATTTATGATAACATGTAAAAACATGTGTTATTGTAAACTGCTGGCACATTTTTACATCAAACCAGCATTTCTTTCTTTTCATCAAGCTGCAAATGAAAAATGCATTGTAAACAAATATCATCACCAATTCAAGTAATGATTATCAAGTGTATTATATAAGATAGATGTTCCAGAATTTTAAAAATTGTCTCCTATTTTGAAAAACCAAATTGGTATCTCAGTAAGTATTTAGTAGGCAGAGTTGCAGAGGGATATTTCAGATCTGAAAATGAAGTACGATCTTTTGCTATCAGTTCTCTCCCTCCATTTCAAAGTTAATGCATGAGATTGTGCTGGTAATTTTTACCCATGCTGGAATCAATAATATCTATTAGTGTAAATGGATAGAAAATCTCCGTGCTCTAGTCTTAGAATCATCCAGACATAATATTCTCTACACCTTCTTGGAGAGATGCCTTCCAAATGGTACCTAATTTATATTACCTGAATTGCTTCTTTTTAAAACTGTGATTTCTAAATAGTCCCTAATGATGTTTTGGTCTGTCAGAATATTTATTCAGAACATCACGTCTGTTTTCTTTCCAAATATAACTCTTGAGCTGCAGAGCTAATAAGATTTAAATATTTTCCCCAGTATATTGATAAATGACTTTCCATATGTGCTGTAAATGCATTATCTTATTATTTTATTCTCTAAAACAAAGCAAGGATATATTAAATTATTTTTGGTGTCTCTTGTTAGTGTCCCTGTGTTGTTTGCGCATAAGACAAGTGTACTAGTTTTAATACACTTGAGTCTCTTGAGGTAGGCTGTGGATGGTGGAAGTACGTGTAACCCTATTAATACATTTTAGAGCACAGTCTGATTTGGATTTGGATCAATTCATACATCACCAGAGACCTCTGGGGCTTCTTCCCATGCTATTTCAATGTTTAGATGGCAGAAGTACAAGAAGTCTTCAACTTACAACAGTTCATTCAGTGACCATTTGAAGTTACAACTGCACTGAAAAAAGTGACTTATGACAATTTTTCACACTTACGGCTATTGCAGCTTCCCCAGGGTCACATTATCAAAATTTGGATGCTTGGCAGCTGGTTCATATTTATAATGATTGCAGCGCTCGGGGTCACATGATCCCATTTTGTGATCTTCTGACAAGCAAAGTCAATGGGGAAGTCAGATTCACTTAACAACTGCAGTGATTCATTTAATAGTTGTGGCAAGAAAGGTTGCAAAATGAGGCAAAATTCACTTAACAAATTGCTTAGCCACAGAAATGTTAGGCTCAATTGTGGTCGTAAGTCAAGGACTACCTGTATGAGTGGAAGGCTAGAACCAGGTTTCTTTTCCATGTCCACAGTGGAACAAGTCAAAGAATTAATGTTAATGAACAGTTCATACCTTTCTCTAGTAAGAACGTTCAAACAGAGGGATCCATCACAAAGAAATCCTATTTAATTGTAAGAAACTGTTGAATTAAAATAGATCTTTGGATATAGAAGAATATTAGATTGGAGTGGCCTAGAAATCTCTTAAACAAAATAAGCATACACTAGCAGGGTGTGGGAAGAGAACCACTGACTCTGTCAAACAATGAAGGAAGTATTAACTTTTTCTCTGTCTCTTGTGAAATTTCACAATTATTTAGAGGCAGATTTCTTTTGTTGTGGCGAGTATATGTAACAGTCTTCCTGTACATATTTTCACTGATATTTTGAACCATTAAACATCAGAAACAATTTTGGGGACGATTAACTATAATTCCTTCTATTAAATACTTCATTAACAATTCTGAAATAAAAGATTTCATAATCCAGATTTAAAAAAAAAAACCATGAAGGGCGGGAATCAAGGAGTTGTGAAAAACTAATATTTAATGAACCTAACAATGCTTACAACCTTTACTGATGTGTTATTTCAATGTTTCTATTTTGAAATGCTTCATAGTTTTACTCAAAAGTACCCACCAGTGAAGTTCTTATCTGAAAAGGACCGTAAAAGAATTTTGGTAAGTTCAACATTTGTTTGAGGCTAATCAGTTATTCTCAGTTTTTGCATAAAATTAATGAAAACAAAGCTGGAAGGGGGTCCGAACCGAAAAGGAAATATCTTACGTTGTGAAAAATTGTACAGGGATCCAAGTCAATCTTTTGTTGGGACTATTCAGGCTTGCATATCTAAGGCAGTTTGGTGGTGGAATCAGCAACTGTTTATTTCTATTTGGTTTCTTGGTTGAGCATCCCACAAGCTGCCCCACTGAGCCCCAGCGCTGTTTCCAATCAAATGCAAGTTAACTAACTGCTTCCACGATTTCTAGGGTCCAGAGAAGAAAAAATGTATGGAGATTAAGCTCTGATTAATATTGTCAAAAACGGGAATTGATTGAGCAATGCTTCGGTTCATATTCCAGTCAGTTAAGAACCCCCTTAGAAGCTACTCTTTGTAATCTTAAAAGAGAAAGTGGTCATAAATAAAAATCTCATAAAGGATTAATCATAAGACATGTGCATTTCTGTATTAAAATGCAAAAACAAAGGTAACAGGTTTGAACTTGGTATTTGGAGAAGTGATACTTTTAATTTCATTTGAGTCTCTCAATGACTAATGCAGTATGATTATATCCATTGGATCAATGTCTCGTGTGATGAATCTAATGAGATCCTTCTATATTCTGGAACAGTAGCTTTTCAAATTACTGGTGAACCATATAAGTGAGCAACTTCATATGCATTCCAGCATATTTTTAATGAGGCCACTAGCACAATTGTTTAAAAAAACAGACAATAGTATTTATGTTCGCTAAAAAGTAAACTATACAGAAGTAAAAGGTGATTACCATCAATGATGCAAGATTAAAGCCTTTCTGGAAACATTTCTAGTATTTTCTTTTTCAATGGAAAATATTAACCTCATATGTATGACTATGCCAGTTGCTTTAGATCAGTGGTTTGCAACCTTTTTAATGCCGTGACCCCCAACCGGTCATAAGTCGAGGACTACTCGACCGGTCGTAAGTCTAGGACTACTCAACTGGTGCAGCACCATTTGCAGAATGGGACTTTTGGCGGGCTCAGCAGGGCAGAGACAGCCTGGACAATTCCTAATTCTATTGGCTTTTGAAAGCCAATAGAATTAGGCTCTATTCAAGAGAGTCTATTCTATTGGCTTTCAAAAGCCAATAGAATAAAAGGGAGTAGCACAGCTAAGGAAAGGGGGAACAAATGGTGGACTGCGTTGTTTGGCGACCCCCGTGAAATGGTCATTCGACCCCAAATGGGGTCCCGACCCACAGGTTGAGAACCACTGCTTTAGATCATTCATGGTAATTTGCATAAATAATTTCCATCCAAAATTTGACAAAGACCCTAGCTAAGCACTCTTTAAACCTATGTCACAATGGAATGTGGCCCCTAATCAAGAGAACCTTTACTTTGTTTCATCCCTTGCTGCTTAGAAACCCTGCTCAGCCTCTTTCCACAGTGCTGGCTGAAATGCTTTCAGGCCTTCAGGATACCCTGTGGGCAGTCCTCAGCATGTTCCAAAACTTCCAGATTGACCACTTCAGTGCCAACTGAATTAGTGACCTGTTCGGGAAGCCTTCATCTTGTTAGTGGAGAGAAGGGCTGGCCCAAAGCAGTTCCAGTTGATGGGAACAGCTTTGTTGTGGTGAATCAAATTGCATCTCCAGTATAACACAAATCTTTTTAATGTTTCATACACACCTAATATCAGTTTTCAAAGTTCAGTGAAATAATAATGCAGAAATAAAAGTGCAGAGTTTCCTATTGTTTTCTATTTTCAGGCTCTACTCGCAAAAAATAATTACTTTCGTAATTTAAATCCTAAAGGAAGTTGTGTAAATGCTTTCCTTCATTGATCGTATTGTGTTAATGCAGACATTTGTGGTGGTGTTCAAATACATGCTTAGATATAAGATATATATCAAATGACAAACACATGTATGATTCTCATACTATCTGATACAAAGGAAGTAGCAGGTAAAATGGAACAGGTTTCAACTGTGCAAGTCAATGCTTCTATATTTATACAGAATCTCCTAAAGAATATTTCCTAATCCCATTTTTGTATATGCTTACAAAGTACTGTATTTAAAAAGAACAGGAGAGTGCTAAAATAGTTCATTTTGTAGACCAAAGAATATGTTAAATGAGGAAATTTTGCTTAGTCAAGAGACCCAAACTCTTGTTCAATTTTAAAAATGAGCAATAGGATTGTTCTAGAAACTCTAAAAAGAAATATCAGTTCTAAATAATACATGAAAGCTGTAGAAAGAAGATGGAATTTCCATCCTAAGTCATTGTGGCTGTTAAGCAGGTCAACACATGTGAACAACATGTTCATTTCCCCAAATGAGTGATTTTTGGCAAAAAAATCACTGGGAACCAGCAAAAAATGTCACAAGTTGCGGTTATGTGACCGTAGGACCACAGTCCTAAATGTGAGCCGGTTGCCAAATGCATTCTCATTGTACTTGATGGGCACCAGGTTGGAGATATTTGTTGCAGTAAGTAATTGTTGCACTGCACCAGGAGCATGTATTTAGTTGTAAACATTGCTATTGATTGCTTGTGTTGTATGGACACACGAAACTTTAAACATAATCTAAAATAATAAAACAGATTTTTATAATCCTTAATAGATCATTATGGGTTTTTTTCATTTGTTCAGTTTGAAGGAGAATATTTATAATATTTGTATTTCTTTTGTTCACTTTGCCAGTTATTTTAGCTAAATAATATTAAATAATGGAGAATTATAATTTTTAAATGGGCTGACTTATCAAATTCAAGTAGAAAAATATTCTTTTTTTATTCCACATGTAATTTTCTATCCTCTTTCAATGCATTTTATAATTGTAAAAAGAGTAATTAATGAATGAATAGCCAAGTTAGTATATGTTCAAGATTTTTTACTCTTCCCATTATGAGAAGTCATCCACTATTAGTTATTTGGAATATCTGCAATCACTTTAGTTTCACAGTTGCTCTGTAGCTTATCTTGGTTGAATACCAAAAATTGGCTCTTATACAGTTGACCCTTAGGAAATTGTCATATTAAACTGAAGCCCATTTGTTTTCTTCATAGTTCCCCAGTGCACAGTTATTTTCTATGGTCTTTGGAATGTTTTGGGTAATTAGGACTTCTACATGGTATCAACTAAAGATCTTTGTGTTTCTGTGACAAACTAGATGAGCTATAGTTTTTTTCTATTATCTGTGCAAAATTGATGAAAAGGCTTAAGGAAAACCATGAGAAAATGGGCCTTTGCTCAAAATGTAGTTCTGCTTAATTCCTTTATTTAATAGTGAAATAATAACTATGGGAAGAGGCCTCTTAATGAAGACAGTAATGCAACAGCATTGGACCTCCTGCCTGTATTATAACTCTACTCTGAACGATCCATGTCTGCCTCCTCTTCTGTCAGCCTCCACATCCTCATGAAAAGTTTGCATGTTAAGATGGCAAAATCCTCTGTTGGATTAAAAAGAATGTTCTCAACATGTACGAAATATATCCTATACAGTGTGCGAATATACTAAATTGGGCCCTAAAGTCCTACTTCTTTCCCTATAACTTACTTCACTTCTTTGCTAAACTAAAGGGAAATTTCTTTGGTGAGATAAGATTGTAAACATTAATACCTTCAGTTTGTTTGATTGATCTGAATGAAAATCTTGTATGTGTCTTCTCAGCCAAGATGCTAAAAGAATTCTGAGTGCTGTTGTTCTTTTATGTAATGTTTGTGGATTTTTTGTCTGGTATTTTCATTTAAAATAGAAGAAAAATTTATATGCAAACTGTCCTAATGCAGATAACTGGAGGAGCAGGGTTTGTGGGTTCTCATCTTACTGACAAACTAATGATGGATGGCCATGAAGTTACAGTTGTGGACAACTTCTTTACGGGCAGGAAAAGAAATGTGGAACACTGGATTGGCCATGAGAACTTCGAACTGATTAATCATGATGTCGTAGAGCCCCTGTACATTGAAGGTGAGTATTCTGAGACATACGTGCTGGTTACGGCACTAAAGAACCATTCTTGTCTTTGCGTGAAGTGCTTTCTCTGTGTGGTTGGAATGTCTCTGCAATAGCTTCTTCTACCTGGTATTCTCAAGGTCTGTTAAATTTCATTTTCCATAATTCTTACACAGTATGTTGTAAACTGAGTGATTATTGTGGTATTTGACTTAAAATTAGAGGCTTGATACTCTTCTTTCGAAACTGAAACAGGTTGTGTTGATCTTATCAGAGGTGTATGATGCTGTTCTGAACATTACATAACTTTTCAGAGCTTGAAATTTTAAATCTGATATGTTCTGCATACTGTTGAGTTCACCCATACATGGAGAGCTATGTATACTGGCTTGAACAGGCAATTGTAATTGAATGAAATTCCGAAAGAACTGACATGGTGGATTGTATTTTCTACTAATTATACCAGCATATGTTTAATATAACCAGAGATCTTGCCAAATTAGGATGCCTTGGTTTTAAATTGCACAGATTTCCAAGTTTTCCAAATTTTATCCAATTGGAGTCAATTTGATATTGATCATAGCAAGCAGGGAATTTGCCCTACACTATGGATGCATCTGAAGAATAAGGGGATACAGTGTTGCCTTTTTTCAGTGTGATTTCAAATGGAGATGCTATCCTGGAATGCCTGGTTCTGATTTTTAGCATAGAGGAAAGATTTAAGTATCCTAAAAAAGGGAAGAAAGAGCATCATTACACTTTTAATGATGGAGAATGGGAACAAGGCTTTTCAGTGAGAATGTTACTCCTCAGCTTAATATATTTTCCATCTGATTCGATCCCTTTTACCTGAGATCATTTGCAGGTTTGTTCTATAATATTTTGCTTATAGAATCAGCTACTTCATAGTGCAAAGTGCAATATCTTCATAGTACCAAGTATCTTCTCTATTGATCTATAACAAAATGAAAATACAGGTGTAGAAGTCACCACTGATGGTAAAAGATTAATTCTTGAATGGCATACCAAAATGTAGGCAAAAATATATTCATTCAAGTGACTTTTGGAAAGAAATTCATAAGGAACCTGTTAGCATAGTGAATGTTTTATAAAAATTTTGAATCATTCATTGGGAAATAATGATACAGGATTTGAAGAATTACTTTGCTTTTTTTTTTAGCTGGATAGTGTGCAGAGGGCATTTTCCTAGCTTTAATCACCAGCTATTAAATTTACTATATTCATAGTTTGCATTTCATAATTATTATCTTCTTTTTTCTATTTCTGGTTCTTATCTCTAGCATATATAATTGCTTTCTAAAGCTCCTGGTTCTTCTTCTGATTGGTGGAGGCCTTTTCTTCCTTTGGTTTGCTAAAGTGCATACTTCAGCTATGCATGCTTATTTTCTGATTTTTGAGGAAGGTCCCCAGTTCCAAGCAGTCCGTGACTGTGCATGAGGACTTAAAAGAACTGACTACCTGGCACAGATGGTTGTCTTATTATAGCTGCTGTGGAAATGGCCGCTTCATGTTCTCAAGTGCTTTTTCTGGCTACCTATTTCAATCTGCTTTCTCAAGATGTATCTTGCTTACATGTTCATGTAACCTAGTACAGAAGATCTTGCAGTTGAAAAATAGCTCTCACCTGTGCAAATTAATCATCTGATAATAAACTTGATGGGGGCTTGAATTTTCCATAGTATCTTTGATGTTCTGCTCTTCAGCAAAATATGTTCCCTTGTTTCAGATTTGGTTACCCAATACTACCGTATAGAGCAGAGGCTGTGAATTAACCCAGAATTCTGAGATGTGTAGCTTACACTCTAATTCTTATTCTTTTAGGATATTGATTACAAGAGCATCTTTTAATGGGGTTTGACATGCATCTATCTAACACAAGCTAAAAAGTAATATTATTTTATTGAACCTCAGAATTTTTTTAATCATTTAATGTAAAATAAATATTCTCTCTCTCCCTCCCTCTCCCTCTCCCTCTCTCCCTCTCTCTCTCTCTCCTTTTTTGTATAGTGGACCAGATTTATCACTTAGCCTCTCCAGCTTCTCCTCCAAATTATATGTATAATCCCATAAAGACATTAAAGACAAACACAATTGGAACATTAAATATGTTAGGTGAGTATAAAATTTAAGTGCAACATTATTTTCACGTTTACTTAGGAAGGATAAAACCCAGCATTCTCATTCCATTTTTCCATTGGCATGTCTCTCTGTAGTTGGTGTATTGTTGCAGATTGTCAGCCTTGATGTTTTTGATTTTTTTAATGGCAGGATAAGAATAAACTTTTCATCTTCACCCCAGATCATTCATTCACTCACTCACTCACTCATTTTATTATATTTTGATTTGTAGTCCTTTCCCAGGCTACAAAGAAGAGGCTACACAGAACCAAAGGGGTAGAAGGATATGTGGCACCTGCCACAAATACAATAAATTCCAGATTATAAATCATTTTAACCCCCTGTGCTAATAATATAATGAACCTTCACAGCAAAGAAGTAATATACAATATTACCTGGCTACATGCTGTTGTACTCTTAAAACTGGTACAGATTTTCTTGGCATACTTAAATGCTTCTTGAATCACAAGTCTGCATTTGTTCTGGAGCTCTGTCCTGAAAGAAGTGCTGATGTGTAGTATTTTACTTCAGGATTGGTTGGAGTGAAATAAAGACATGTCTCTTTCTTTTAACAAAATATGTCCTCTTTTTGTTAAGGTTTAGCAAAACGTGTTGGAGCCCGTCTTCTCCTTGCATCCACTTCTGAAGTGTATGGAGGTAAGAAGTGACTGATCTGGGAAGTCCCACTTCATAAAGGCTTTATTGAGTACATTGTTTTCCCCCACCTCACTTGTCTTCTATTTAAAATATTAACAGTTTGTTTGTTTGTACCCTGCCAGCAAACATATCCAAAACCCCTTCTTCCTTCTATTTTCCCCACAACAACAATCCTATGCGGTGGGTTGGCTTGAGGGGATGTGACTGGGCCAAGGTTACCCAGTCAGCTTTCATGACTAAGGTGGTGATTTCAAGCCTGGTGCCTTAACCTCTAGATCAAACTAGCTTTCCATAGATTATTGATTGTATGGTTATGAAGATCCATAGATAATTGGCTATATGGTGATAATCGCTGACAAATCATCCATATTTTCTATTACATTACTTTACTCTTTAATTATTTGTTACTGTAATTCGATTACATTCAACTTGGCTTATTGTTTTTTTCTGAATTTGGCATCCTAGTGCCATCAAGATGTTCAGATTACAGTTCCCATATTCCTTGACCAATGGCCATCTCAATGGAGGCCTATAAGAATTGTAATCCAATTATATCTGAAAAACTTCATTTGCTAAGCCATGGTGTAGATATGTACTACAGTCAAATCTTCATTCTTACTAACTGAGGTTGATTTCTTTTAATGGAAACTGAAGTTATTTCAGATATTCAGCAATTTAAAATGTACAGTTTAAGCTATATCTGTGATGTGACTATTAAACAATTTGTGAATAGAATATGTGGGCCATAGCTCTCATCTCAAATATATAATGGTGTGCTCAGAAACCATTAAAACCAATATAGAAACAGCAGTAAAATAAAAAAACTGCAATATAAGAAAAATAAAAATATAAAAAACATACATTATCACTATGATATGTATGAACAATTTGTTCTTGTAACATGAGGATAATTAAAGGACCTTTTGTATTGATAGGTGTTTGTTTATCCTTTCTCAATTGAATAACTGCAATAAAGCATTTTAGCAGAACTCTAATTATCAAATCATTTTTTAAAAAAACTAGTTGCAAATAAATTAATTTCTTATCAAATGATGGTATGGCTCAGAAGAAAGAATTCTACTTGGTTTTAGTAGTTCCCAGCAAAAGTAAATCAAAGGAGAAATAGAAAGAAATATTGACTATTTAGGCATAAAGTAGCTCTTTTTCCATTTTATATAAATTAAGGCAATTCTTTCTCCTTTTTTAAAATCAAGGTCTCAATGCTGTGAACTGCTTTGTAGAAAATTCTGGTGCTCAATAGCAATTTTTATGTTTGAGCTATATGATCAGCATATTGACCTTTTTCTAAATGGGTTTTATTTGTTCTTGATTAAACTTTTTAATGGTCCATATACTGTGTGTGTGTGGAGCACAAACACACACACACCTCAGTTGACTGGGATCATTTACAAACAGGTTAAGTCTCCAGAATTGCACTAAAACAACAGGTATCCCAAAGAAATTGAACAGATGGTTCTAGAAAGATAAGTAAAAGAATTTTTCAAGACAGGAAACACATTCACAAAATATTTTGCTGAGCTCTGCTGTCCATAGAATAGCTTTCTTTCTTCTCTGGCTATGTAGCAGGTAGTCAATTCCTACATAGAATGGCTAAAACCTGTGCTGAATAGTAAGCCTGAGACACTAAACATTTCCTAAATATGTTCTATCAAAAGTAATTAATATTAATACTGTTAGTTGTTATTGGATATTGAAAGCTCTTTTTTTTTCTTTCAAGATCCTGAAGTTCACCCACAAAATGAAGATTACTGGGGTCATGTGAATCCTATAGGACCTAGAGCATGTTATGATGAAGGAAAAAGAGTTGCTGAAACCATGTGCTATGCCTATATGAAGCAGGTATTGAGGGCAAGATTTGCACAGTACTAACAGTTGTGTGTGAGAGAGTGTGCCTTCAAGTCAGTGATGTTTCCTGGTGGCAGACAGGATTAGCACTGCAGTTTGCTTGGCAATGTTTTTGTCTGAAATGGTTGCCATTGCCTTCTTCCTTGGACTGAAGGAGAGGGACTGTCACAAGGTCACCCAATTGACTTTGTATCCTTGTAGGACTAAAATTCACGGTCTCCCAGCTTCTAGCCTGCTGCCCTAATCACTATACAAACTGGCTCTTAGTCATAACATTATACAGGTAGTCCTCAACTTATGACCACAGTTGAACCCAAAATTTATGTTGCTAAGTGAAAAATTTGTTGGGTGAGTTTTGCTCCATTTTACAACTTTTCTTGCCACATTTGTTAAGTGAACCACTGCAGTTGTTAAGTTAGTAACACTAACTTAAATGTTGTTAAGTGAATCTTGCTTCTCCATTGACTTTACTTGTCAGAAGGTTGCAAAAAGGATCACATGATCCTACAACACTGTAACCGTCATTAATATGAACCGGTTGTCAAGCATCTGAATGTAAATCACGTGACCATGGGGATGCTGCAAGGGTCATTAGTGTGAAAAATGGTCATAAGTCACTTTTTTCAGTGCCATTGTAACTTTGAAAGGTCACCAAATGAACAGTTTTAAGTCAAGGAATACCTGTAGTCCAGAATTTGGGAAATGAGTGTAATACTAAGGCAATTGCAGAGAAATGCAAAATCTCTCAGGTGTGAGATAAGTAATTATCTGAAGGCAGATTTTGGTCTTTCCTTTTTATCCCATCTTTTATATATATTAATATAAAAATCTTGTTTTTCATCACTGGTTTTCTGGGGTTTTTTTGTTTGTTTCTTGTTTGTTTATTCAGTCACTTTGTGGACTGATGCACGCTATTCTCTCAATAATTGCTTCTTGAGTTCTTGTAAATCTGTGTTTGTTATTTTTTCTTTTGTTTTTATCCCTCCTTTATTATTTTTGTAAATAATTTAAGGCGGTGAAAGTACCTAATACTTCTTCCTCCTATTTGCCCCATGTGAGGTGGATTGTACTGAAAGCACGTGACTGGCCCAACTCACCAAGATGGTTTTCATACATAAGGTGGGACTAAAACTCACTGTCTCCTGGTTTCTAGGCTGGTACCTTAACCACTAGACCAAACTGGCCAGCATCTACATTTTGTCTCCTCTGGGCTTCTTTTTTAGATTGCCTTTGATTTTCCTATACATCCAGGGCCTTCTCCAGCAACATAAGCTTTAGCTTTATCGTTAGCTTTATTAACGTTTTCAGAGAATACTTAATTTTACTTCATCTAGTAGAGTTTTTCTTTGGATAGGAACAAGATTGTTTTGAAAGTAATTGTTTATGTTTCATCCTATATGGTGAAATTCATTTTCTAATCTACAATTGCTAAGCTACTAAAAAGGCAGACTGACTATACAAACATTGTAAGAGGCAGTGTAAACTCTAATACTTTCTGGCATTTCTTCTAGAAATATTATAAAAAGAACAAATAATTGAGATATGTTTGGCAACATTTCCTGCTGTTGTCAAGATCTGTAAACATTCATAGCATCCTCAAGAGTATCTGTTTTGTTTACTAGTTTGAAGTGCTTCATGTCCCCAAAAGCCTAACAAAAATTGATTTAGTTTAATCAGAAATACTCTTGACAGATCATTATATCATCCCTCCAAAGAGGAATCTCTGCTAAAGAGCTCTTTCAACAACGCTACAAACCAGTCTTCCCCAGTTTGTACGCTCCCATTATGCTGGACTCCAACTCTCATAATTGCTAAGCCATTTTAGAGGCTGGCTGGGATGATGGAGCAGTTGTAGCAGATATTTGAAGGATACTGTGTTGATGGACAATAAATAGATCTATAGCTCTATAGCTGAACTGCACCATATGAGATCATTACAATTGTATGTATATCTTATTCTGGAATAATACAAAAAAAAAAATAGAACCCAGCATGAACATTTTCAATAGAATTTTTACAAGATACTATTTTTCTTCTCCCTTTAGGAAGGTGTTGAAGTAAGAGTTGCCCGAATCTTCAATACATTTGGACCCCGAATGCATATGAACGATGGCAGAGTTGTTAGTAACTTTATCTTGCAAGCTCTTCAAGGAGAACCTTTAACTGTATGTATTCATCTTCTTGTCCGTTCAGTTTAATGATTGTGTGGCAAAGACACATCAAAGTCTGCCCTTTTGTGAAATCTCACAGGATCAATATTTTAGTAAAGAATCTTAAACTAGAAATTGAAACATTCTAATGCATCATCTAGTATTTAATCACATAAGCACATTGTGTTGTACTCAGAAATGCTATTTAATATTAAGATTCCTAAGGTTATAGAAATTGTTTCTAATTTGTGGAAGATTCATTGGTAAGAAATCAAGGGAAGTCTTCAACCAAATATGTGAACTGTTTCTATTGAAAACGGTTCCTGAATTGATATGTGCTAACAGCACTTGTATCTCTTGTGGTTTACTTATAGCAGATATTCATGCATCTGTTTATCATCTAGTGCTAGAGTTCGGAAATGACAAATATATACTTGTAAACTGCTTCTTAATTCCATTTGGTGTGATTCAAGCAATACATCGAAATGGCTCCTTTTAAAATAACATTGAAAGCTACTGCTGAGTTTTAACAATTTAAATATTTACAATAAAGTAATGCTTTTATCTTAGAATAGCAAAGCAGTTTTGCAATATAAAAGTAAACCTGAGAAAGATTTTCAGGCAAGTATGTATTGAAATCCTTTTGAAGAACAATGGAATCTCATAAGATTTAGCCATTTCAAAATTGAAATATTTTGTTTTATGGCAAACAACCATATACTAGCAGAATGCTTGTAATCTGCGTACTGACAAGATTGTTGCTAAGACACTTAGTAGGCAGTGTCTCAACTTGCACTAAAAAAAGATTTATATTCTTTATAAATTGTTAGAAAAGGCAGCATGGGTGATTTAGTTTTATTTTTTGCCAACTTAGCAACATTTTTCTTTGTCATTTGTAAAGCAAATTGATAATTATTTGGGGCATGATCTAGTATGGAATCTTTTTTTAAAAAAAACCAAAAGTAATATTGAAAATAATGGATTTTTTTAATTGATAAGAATTGCTAGACCTAAACAAATGATAGACATGAAAATGAGCAAGTAGATCAATATGAAATAGTCCTGTTGGATTATAACTTGGACAGGAAGCCTGTTGGTGGCACTTCATGAACCTGGTGAAAAATTAATGTGTACTTAAGAGATATATAATAAGATTATGCTCCATCTAACTTCAGATAATCATTTGGTAAATCAGGACAAACAAATAAGGATACATGAATGGTACTTGTACATCACTGCAAAGTGGTATCTTTGCTATGCATTTTTATGTTAATTTTAATTCTTCCAGGTATATGGGCCTGGCACTCAAACCAGAGCATTCCAGTATGTCAGGTATACCTTTTTATGTGATGAGTTATAAATGTTGAATCTACTTGTTGAGAATGAAGGGGGAAGTTTCTTCTGCTTGTGTTTTCTTTTTTTTAAAAAAAAAAAACATTTACACTTTTTAAATACTTTTTGTTTCTTTCCCTTTTTGATGTATTTATGTACCAGATTTTTGTATTTGTTATATTTATTTAATATAATCTTTAATAATGTTAAAAAAGGACACCATTGAAAATAACTTTGTCATACTGTACATCCTGGCCTTATTCTTTCACTGCAACCCTACTGAGGTGCTGCCTTTAAGTGGAAGCTGATTATAATTGTTGCAAACAAATAACAATCACTTTAGATTAAAAAATTAGACAGGAATAAATGATCTGTCCAAGGTGTGTATAAGTCTGCATCAGTTCCAATTATGTATATTTGCTGGTCGAACCTTGGCCCAAGCAGAGGCTTTGGTGGTGGGCCAGCCATTCAAATATCTATTTGGAGCAGAGTGTGGGAAATTTATCCCAACCAGGATAGAGTGGAATGTTTTTCTAGCAGCACCTACATTTAATTCAGCCCAGCCCAGCTGGGATACAATGTCTATTTATATCCACACCCTCTATTTGTCTTAATTTTTACAGAATGGGAAATAGTCAATATAAATTGCTTAGTAATAATCATAAATACACACACACACACACAATGAATCTAAGTAGCAAAGGGTTAGAAGCCTCTGGGTTTCCCATTTTTTTTCCTTAAACCATTTCTGCCCTCTTCTGCTGAATATCTGATATGCAGTTTTCTTTGTAAAGAGAGTGTTTTTTTTTTCAGTTTTAGCCAGTATAATGGTGGCTTAGCACTAACCTAGAATAAGCACAATATTTGTGCTAATTTTAAAAATACTGCGACTACTTCTGCTGTTCCAAATTCACTTATGCCTATGGTCTACATTTATTGAATTTTGTTGGGAAAAAAAATCACATAGCTTAATTATAAAAAGAGGAATTACCCTCCCCCATTTCTTAAAGGGCCTAAAGAATCTAAACCATTTTCCTATCCCATAGCTATACTGGGTGAATTTGCCTACTAATGTTCATTATGCTCTTAATGACAAAGTTAAGTAGGACAAGCAGAGAAGGAGGAGGTCAAAATCAAGAAGATGACAAAAATCATGCAGTCAGTGCCCTTACCCCTGCTTGCATGCATCATGGCAGAACAAGCCTTGATTGCATAGTTGTGGCTGCCATCTTGAATTCTTGATGCCCATGAACTCCTGTGACGACTACACTGAAAGATTCCAACTACATTTTGTTTGGAAATTTTCTACTCAGGCAGTGAATAGCAGACTTACAACGAGAGATAACTGAATATGCATGTTTGTCCATAAGCTAACCATTTACTTGAGTTACCCTTCCACTCTCTTTAAAGCATGGTTACACATGCTGAACCTTGCCAAAAGTTGTTGGTAAATGTCATTGTTTAATTTACATTATTAAAGCCAAAAGAAACAATTCAATTAACTACTTTTAATTGAGGTGGCACAGCAGTTAGAGTGCAGTACTGCAGGCCACTTTAGCTGACTGTGTTCAGCAGGTCAGCGGTTCAAATCTCACCGGCTCAAGGTTGACTCAGCCTTCCATCCTTCCGGGGTAGGTAAAATGAGGACCCAGATTGTTGGGGGCAATGTAAATATATATATATACATTGCTTACTGGTGTACACCGCTTAGAGAGTGCTTGCACTTAAAGCGGTATATAAGTCTCATAAATAAATAAATAATTCATCTGCCTCTTGAATTGGTCATATTGGTGATTAAAACGTGGAACATGATGTACCACTCAAAACCAACTCTAGTTTTTGGTCTAATAAAGGTTTCCTGATTTTAAATTTTTATTATGTTTTGCACCTAAATCTGACATCCTTTTAATTCATCCATCCCATTGTCTCAATGGGTACATTGTGTCTTTTGTGAAAATTGTTTAGGCAGAAATGTTTTGTCCATCCCTTCATGTATATTCAGTGTAAGTTCTTGTAGTTCACTTGCTTTGGCTTCTGTTCATGGGTATCTACAGAAGCTTCCTGTTTCATCCCAATGGTGAAGGTAATATGGCACTGCATATATAAAAAGGATGGAACTTTGTCAGCCTGGTCACCTTGACTGCTGCCCCCCCCCCCCCCCGCCACTGCTTACAGTAAAATTTCCCCCAAGAAATTATTTTTCCTCAGCATCAGCACTTAGCAAGGCCAAACCATAAATAAATCCAGGAAATAACTCTCCTCTTGTCGTCTTTTTTTTTTCAGTGACCTTGTGAATGGGCTTGTGGCCTTAATGAATAGCAACGTTAGCAGTCCTGTTAACTTGGTAAACAAAACACTCTTGTTGTTATGGGAAATTGAGTAAAGTAGTATGGAAACAAAATAGCACCCCCAGATTCAGAGTGCATAGAATCAGTCAGTGTTTGGTACTGTTCTGATCTGAAAATTGCAGTAGGCCCACCACCATCACCACTAACTTCTCCTGTTTCTCATTGTTATTAAAAACATGAGCAAAATATGAGGACAAACTAGTTTTCTACCTTAAATACAGTGAGTTCTGTATTGTATCTGCAAATAAAGTCTTTGCAGACCCCATTTTATAAATCCAATTTTTTATACTGTAAATTTCTGCATGCATTGTGCTGCTTTTGTAATTATATTCTTGTCTCATACTATTTCATCTCTTTGAGATGTGTTGCTAAATCAAAAAGTAATTTAAACCCTTAAGCTCCCTGATAGTAAACATTTCTACTGAATGTAGTATGATCTGAGATGTGCAATTCATTTCCTTAGGTTTGCCCTCAAGAGTAGTGTGAAAACAATAGGAATTTCTGTAGAACGAGGACAGGTTTCCAGTCTTTGGATCATTCTTTTCGTTTAGGAATTCCTGTGGTCAATTCCATTCGGGAACGGAGAATTCTGCAATTGGGAACATATGGTAGAGAGAATGAGCATTCAGGAAATAACTCTTTATGGAAGATCAAAGGCTAAATTTTCCTCCTACTTATTGTACTTAAATAATGGATTTGTACTATTGTACTATACAATACTATTATACTATAACTATTATACAATTGTACCATAAACATTATTTTAATAATATTTGTTGTATCTCTAGGGGAATCCAGAGGAACATTCTATTCTAGAATTTGCCCAATTAATTAAAAAGCTTGTGGGTAAGTAGAACATTTAAATTACTTTGTAAATAAAATATAGAGCTTGGTGATATGTGTCTCCTATTGATTGCTACATGGAAGGTAATCAATTTAATAAATAAGTAAATTCAAATGATTTAATTTGGAACTGCTACTAGAAAACCCAGTGAAAATGTAATAATAATTAACCAAAAAAAGAAAAGAAAAATTATAAGCCTATAGATGCTAAAACTTCTGTGGGCCATGTGTACCCTGAATGTGTATAATGCATTGTACAGCGAGCCCCCAAAAGGTATTTACAACCCAATTTCAAAGTTTTCATGTCAGCCTCCTGTAGGAGATGACCAGGCTGAGCCTGAGGGAACAGTCAAATGAGTCCCTACATGCCCACAAGAGATCTAAGTCCAGCCTACCTTGAATGCCTTTCTTATCTCCTCATTTTCCTTGACCATTATTAGTAGGTCAGATTCTTGTAGAGCTCTTAAGGTTGTAATAAATCTTCTCATTTGAACTGCCTGAATTTCCTGATTTCTCCGGCGCTTGACATCTCCACAGTTACCACATTTTGGGTGCTTGGCAACTGGACAGCATTTACAGCTATTTGCTGCACCCTGCACCATGATTTATGCTAGTTTTGGTGGAACTGGTGTTTACTTCTGGTTTTTGGCAAAACCGGCCCACAGCGAACAATGGGTTCACTTAACAACTGTGGTGCTTGTTTTACTACTGCCACAAAAAAGTTAGCAAAATTGGATCAGTCACATGATGAGCCACGTTATGACCATCATGATTTAGAACTATAATTGCCAGTCTGGCTTACAGATGCAAGTTGAGGAGTATCTGTCTTATTATGGAACTTTTGGTGTGGAATGCCTCCAGAAGGAAATTATCTCTTTTCAGAAACTGAAATTGTAACAGCTGTCACTCATCACTATGCCTAACTATAAAATGTGTTCACAGGCAGTGGAAGTGAAATCCAGTTTCTGTCAGAAGCTCAAGATGATCCTCAAAAAAGGAAGCCAGATATCAAGAAAGCCAAACTATTGCTTGGTTGGGAACCTGTGGTACGTATTGTTCATCAATGGTATTGTAGTTTCAAAATGTAATGTTTATTTCATACCATTTAAGGCAAATTGTTGAAATGTATTCTGTTCTGTGCTTCCTTTGGCGAATAGGAGAAAGAAGCATTTTAAAAAATTGTCTCTTGATCCTTATATAAAATAAGTTAATTAAACTCAGGCAAAACTCCAAAAACCAGTCATTTTAACAAAAATACTGAAATAAAATATGTAAATCTCTATTTCTCCCTTGTAAATGTCTATTTTTTTTGCTACCTGCAATTTCATTAAATTGGAAAACAAGCAAACTTCCATGAATGTTTCCATGAATTGAGGAGCATAGTTTTAAGAAGCAGGGTTTTAGTACTACATATAAGTACCACATATTCTGTAAGTATGGATAATCTTTCTTAATCTTTCTCTTGCTCTCCGGAACAGGTTCCATTGGAAGAAGGTTTAAATAAAGCAATTCATTATTTTCGGAAAGAACTGGAATATCAAGCAAATAACCAATATATTCCTAAACCAAAACCTGCTAGGATAAAAAAAGGAAGAAGCAGACATAACTAAAAATTCAGTTAGAATGACATTTTTACCTTGAATTTGAGAAGATGTCATATGTTTTTTGGAAAAGACTTCAGAACAGGTATCATGAAGAGAAAAAAAACTGGAATTTCACTCTGAAGCTTGCTTTAAAGAAGTGGATGTGCCTCAACAAGAAAACTGCAGTTCTTGCCTTGCACTTTTTAAATCTGTCTTTTTATGTCAAATAGATGCATCTTTTTTTAGTATCTTCAGGTTTTATATCTTGCTGTGAGATCATTTGTTATAACTGTCCTTGACAGTTTTATTTACTGGTTTCTTTGTGAAGCTGCGTATAAGATAAGAAGGGCAGAATTGCCAATTTATTTATAAAATGGGTACTTTAAATGAGAGATACTATGCATAAAGGAAAAAAGGTAGCAGTATTGTCAGATGACAAACACTGGCATTTAGAAAATATCCGTACAAGAGTTTTATGTATTCTTTAAATCCACCCAACATTTAGTTCTAGTTGCACAATTGAATCTGAACAATTTCCACTGATAAATGCTATTTTAAATCACTACTGTATGGTGCATATTCTGGGCGAAAGTTCATGTATTATTGGCTACCAATGGTTGAATATGCTATTTTAATAAAACACTGAATCTTACAGATTTAAGTAAAAGAAAAGTCTATGGTTGTGGACATATTATTTATACAGGTATAGCAGCCTGATGTTATATCTGCCTCTGTGTAACTGATTCTTTTAAACAATATTATGTGAGTTTTTAGATAGTGTACCTTTTGATGAATACAATTCAATTACAAATAACTCTGTGAAATTAAATTAAAAATCAAGTAGGAACATGCAGGTAGTCCTCAACCTGTGATCCCAGTTGGGATCAGAATTTCCATTGCCTAGCAAGATAGTTGTTAAGTGAGCAATGCCCAATTTTATGACCTTTTCTGCCACAGTTGTTAAGCAAATTACTGCAGTCGTTAATCACACCATTGATCAGTGAACCCAGCTTCTCCCTTTGACTTTGCTTGTCAGAAGTCGGCTGGGTAGGTCACACATGATGATCCTATGTGCCCAGGACGCTGCAGTTATTGTACATACATGCCAGGGGCCAAGTGCCCAGATTTTAATCATGTGGCTATGGGGATGCTGTGACTGTTATTAGTGTGGGGACTGGTTGTAAATCACTGTTTTTGAGTGTGTTGTAATTTCAAAGGGTTGCTAAAGGAGTGGTTGTAAGTTGAGATCTACCTGTATGGATAAAATTCAGTGGACGATTTCTGCTCCCGTCTGTGGAATGCAGAATCTTCTGTCTGCTCTCAAAGCCTGGCTTGGGTTGTGGGGCTCTTAAACAGCACAAATCACACCGGGAAGGAGAAAGATGAGAAAATATGGGTAACCTCTCTTTTCTACAACAATAATAATAATGATAATAATATTGGAAGAGACCTTGGAGCTCTTCTAGTCCAACTCCCTGCACAGACAGGAAACCCTATACCAGTAATGACAAACCTTTTAGAGACAGAGTGCCCAAACTGCAACCCAAAACCCACTTATGCATCGTCGGGTGCCGGGTGGGTGTGGCCCAGTGGGTGGGTGTGGCCTAGTGGGTGGGCATAGCTGTGGTGGTAACAGCAGACTGGGTGGGACTAAAAAGTTCAATCAATTCCAACTTTGCAAGATCTTTTTTTTTCCCGCGAGAAGTTGAAATTGACTGATTGAACCTTTTTTGTGTGTATATGGCAGCGGAGGCCTAAAGCGAAAAGGTTTTATAAAACCCAGCTGAAGGCCTAGGACTGGGGTGACAGCGCACTTGCCCACAGAGAGGGCTCTGAGTGCCACCTCTGGCACCCTTGCCATAGGTTTGCCACCATTGCCCTATACCATTTCAGACAAATGACTGTCCAATCTCTTCTTTAAAACTTCCAGTGTTGGAGTATTCACAGCTTCTGGAGGCAAGTTGTTCCACTGGTTAATTGTTCTGTCAGGAAATTTCTCCTTCTCTCCTTCATTAGTTTCCATCCGTTGCTTCTTGTCTTGCCTTCAGGTGCTTTGGAGAATAGCTTGACTCCTCTTCTTTGTGGCAGCTCCTGAGATATTGGAACAGTGCTATCATGTCACCCCTAATCCTTCTCTTCATTAAACTAGACATACCCAATTCCAGCGACCGTTCCTTATATGTTGTAGCCTCCAGTTCCCTGATCATCTTTGTTGTTCTTCTCTTTCTAGAGTCTCAACATCTTTTTTACATCGTGATGACCAAAACTGAATGTAGTACATTATTCCAAGCGTGGCCTTATCAAGGCATTATAAAGTGGTATTAACACTTCACGTGATCTTGATTCTACCCCTCTTTTTAATGCAGCCTAGCACAGTGTTGGCTTTTTTGGCAACTACAGCATACTGCTGACTCATATTTAAGTGATTGTCCACTAGGACTCTGAGATCCCTCTCACAGTTACTACTACTGAGCAAGGTACCACCTACCTATACTGTACTTGTGCATTTGGTTTTTCTTGTCTAAATGTAGAACCTTACTTTTTTCACCACTGAATTTCATTTTGTTAGATAGCGCCCAATGTTTATTGCTATTTCCAGTATTAGCCCACTTATGACAAATAATGCAGAATCAGGGTCACTTCCACAAGAGTTTTAACTATTGTTAATGTTGGATATTGGAACACTGCTATCATGTCACCTCTAATCCTTCTCTTCATTAAACTAGACATACCCAACAGGTACAGGAAGGAGTCTTTATTAGGACATACTTTATTAGGACAAAATAAGCTCACTTCTTCGCTCTTACTGTATCTGCATACAAACAACCAGCAGCTTTATTCTACGCCACCAGACCTCTTCTAAGAAAGGAATGGTCAGGAGAACCCCTTTAGAGCCTGTCAAAAGGTACTTGGCTTTGCTGAAGTAGACTTGACTGGGTAGGTCCTACGGAAATGACTAGTTATGTTAATTGGGAAGAGTTTGAGCCAGTTGATGCTGAGGAAGTAGCTAGGTCCTTGTCATGTATCTTAACCTCCAAAATTGGTTAAAGCTTCTCAGGAGGTGGCAGCGTTTAGGGGAAGATTGTTGAGAAAGTGTGGGTGTTTAACATTGGAGAGCCCTGGATGAAGTGTATTATCTAGGACCTTTTCAGTCAGTTTTATAATACTGACATGGCATCGACCACATTTGTTGATCTCTGAAAAGCTTGAGATGGGGGGGGGAGTTGATCCATCCTGGTTCACTCGGCAACAAGGGTATCCTTCTGGATTGGATTTGGACATTGGAAATGGGAGTTGCTGTTTTGCAGTGTATCTCCTTCCTGTCCCTATAAAAAGGTTGGGGAAGAGAAGTCTATTATCTATGCCTATCTTACGTAGGTGCCTCAAGGCTTGTTTTCTCATCACTCTTATTTAACATCTAATAAAGCCTGTGAGTGAAGTCAGTTGGCAGTACAGTTTCATCAATATGCAAATGATAATTATATGCCTCCACCCACGACTGGACAGGTAATGATGTTTAGGTGCTGACCCAATGCATGGAGGTTCTGGATGGGGAAGAACTGACTGCAACTCAACCCTAGCAAGACGGAATGGCTTTCCATTTTTGACCTTCTGGGATCTGGAGGGCAATTATTCTTTTAGCCTTGAACCTTCAGGCCACAAACCCTGACTCTTCCCCCAGGATTGGGCTAGGATGGGAATGGGACCAGAAAAATGCAGAGTTGATATGGTGTTATCATGGCCCTGTGGTGGGTAATAAGGTGTAATTGTATGACACTGTTGTTCATTTTTATGTTTTTATTTATTGTAAGCTGTACATTATATATAAAATAGATGGCCATATTTGTCTCAGTAAGGAAAGTTAGTCTTCATAATGTAAGTATTTTACAAGAATACATAATTAAAATTTGGTATAAAAAAGCTTTCATTTTACTGCAGATATGTTAAGAAATATATACAAGACCAAATTTTTTGTTTTTTTCCCCTCAACCCCATTAGCTAAAAATTAAGAATCAGATTAAAACCAATAGAAAAAAACTTTCTAGTGTCCTTACACAGAGGAGAAAGAGTTAATATATAGTCAATATAGAGAGGAAAGGATTAATATTAATAGTCAAGACAGAGAAGAATCTTAATAATAATCATCATAATTGACATTTGCTCCATGTCTGAAGGTGTCTGGATTTCGTGGGCCAATAGGAGCATCTTCATCATAATGGTGATGATAATAGCCACCATCGTATTCATGGCCACCATGGCCTATGTTTGACCAGTAGGAGACATAATCTTCAAATTTCTGCAGAAAAGGGGAAAAAGTGATCAATTTCTGAAGCCATATGTTCATAAAAATGCTATGCTTTACTAGAAGCTTGAAGTATATATATTTTTCAATACTGATCAGATATTTTCATCCAAAATGGTATATGTATTGTATATCATGTTCTATAATACACTGTGGAACATAATCTTCTAATTTAAAAAGCTGATTGATGATTTTGAATTGATGAATTCTGGAAATTGAAGTCATAAAGGGTCAATAGTTCCCCACCTCTGCTATAAAATAAAAGGAACAGAGTCAGTGGGACCCACTAATATAACATCTACTCTTCTATGAAGAATATAATACAGTTTATTTCATGTCAAGAATAGACAGAAATTTCCAATAAGGTTGCAAAATTCTGCTTAATATTTAACACAAATTGCTTAAAAATTGAACACAAATTGCTTTAAAAATATTAGTAATCCATTTCTTTGTGTGTGCTTTTGTCATTCATTTCAGGTGGAGAATACAATAGTCCTTGAGTCATGACCATAATAGAGCCTGCCCATCACTGTCATAACCTAAAATGTAGTCATGTGACTGGGGGGGAATAACCATTGAAACTTTGAATCTGGGTTGTAAGTACCCCTCCAGACAGGTTGATTGGAACATCAAACAGTCACTAAGTGCTGGCCATAAATCGAGGACTACCCATAAAGAGTTGTTGAAAGTGTGAATCAAATTTCACCTTGAACTCTGAAACTTGGTACCATTCTATTTAATGAAGTAGCAATAGAATAGGACTTAGATTTATATACAGTTTACAGAGTCAGTATATTGTCCCCCAACAATCTGGGTCCTCATTTTACCAACCTCAGAAGGATGGAAGCCTGAGTCAACCGTGAGCCGGTCAGAATCAAACTCCTGGCGTGAGCAATGAGTTAGCTTATAGTACTGCATTCTAACCAGTGTGCCACCACTACTGCTTCAAATTTTAAGCTATGCTATCAGTGTTTAGCTATATTTTCTGCATACATGACTGCTTATTATGCACATTTTAAAATAAATTATGTTTTCCTTTCTTGAAGATGGTGTGTAAATTATTATGGTAATAATCATTTGGATTTTAAAAAGTGGTTATTTTTTACTCTGCTATTCTTGAGTAGATTTATGTATTACCTGCCCAATTTTGTGAATATTTTTGATGCAAGCTTAAAATACAACAGCATCCTGGCTTGATTAGTTGTTCACCAACATTTATCACATGAATCTATAATTAACTAGTTTGTTTTTCTGCTGTATGACAAAAGTAATAAAGTGATCTGTGATCATGGTTTATTTTATATATTGTTTATAAATTGCTGCTGGAAATTTGACATGTATGAAGGCCTCATCTCATTTTATAATCACAGCAGCAAATTTGGCTAGTAGAAATAGCAATGACGTGAAAATGAGCCAAAAATGTATACAGGTAGTCCTCAACCATTTATTTAATTACTATTCAAAGTTACAACGGCACTCAAAAAAATGACTTATGACCATTGTAGCATCCATATGTTCATGTGATCATAATTCAGATGTTAGCTCCTGGCACGCAATTATGATGGTTGCAGTGTCCCATGGTCATGTGATCACCTTTTGCGACCTTCTGACAAGCAAAATTAATGGGGAAGCCAGATTCACTTAACAACCGTGTTACTAACTTAACAATTGAAGTGATTCATTTAATAGCTAGGGCAGGGGTAGGCAACCTTGGCTCTTTTATGACTCCTGGACTTAAGGAAATCTGGGAGTTGAAGTCCACAAGTTATAAAAGAGCCAAGGTTGCCTACCCCTGAGCTAGGACAATAGAGATCATAAAATGGGACAAGAATCACTTAACTCTCTTCCTTAGCCACAGAAATTTTGGGCCCAACTGTGGTCATAAATTGAGGACTACCTGTATTTGAATCCCAGTGTAAGTGTAATCCCAGTGCAAGGCATTAAGGATGTTTTTAGTGTTTTCCCCTCTTTCCCATGTCAGTCTTTAAGGACCTACAGTGAGTAGGTTGGGGGCGAAGACAACTAATGATCTCTGGGGCCAATGGACATTTAAACCTGTCTTTCCTCTATTAAAACGCAGCACTTTAATTACTATGACAAGCATCTATCTGGGTAATACATGACTTCATTTTAATAAGTACCAGCAATTCTAGGTCAAAACCCTATCAAATGATATTGCTTTCTATAGAAATATTTAGAACAAAAAAAGGCTTTGCTTCCCAAACATTCCTGCAATGGGGAAAATGTCATAAAGAGTGAGTCAAGGAAAAAAAGGCCTTGAATAATTGAAAGATTATATTAATTCATTTCTTTTACATTAAGTACTTATTGTATTGTTTTAAAAAACATGCTGGAAAGTGGATTTATATCTAGGATACAGCTTCTATCACTTTTCCAGTGTTCTTTATAAGTAACTTTTACTGTATTTATCTTCAAAATTTAACAAAATATATTAGTGTACCCTAATATAGAAAAACAAAAATTTAAGAACTCGAATATGTTTTTTCAAATTCTGAAGTACAGAAACAGCCTAATGCACATTCAAGTAAACATTTTTGCAGTGTCTTCAGTAATAAAAGATCCATCCAATTTATAAGATTTCACTGGATCTTTCCTTATTACTTTCTATTCTCACAGTTTAGCATTTGACTTCCTAACATATTGCCACCAAAGCCATATTCTTTTTCAGTATTTTTTAAATAGCTTCTCTGCCTTTTCCTTCCAAAAACAACTAAAACTTAGATTCAAATAACACGTGCACACAAACTACAGGTAATCCCCAAGTTATGAGTGTTCCCTTAGCGTTCAAAGATACGAGATAAGCGCCCCCTAGTGTTTACGAAAAACTCCTGAAATTATGAATGTTGTACCACAGCAGTCACTCATTCACTCTTACGAACGACCACAGTAGCACTGCAACATTAACACTGACTATTCCCTCCCTTACCCTTCGGGTCTCCCTAGGCACTAGGCCTGTGAATACTCACCTTGCGAAGATTGAGAGATTCTTCGCTTTCTTGGCTGCTCCAGGCCTTTGGTGCATTCAGAGAATGGAGACCTAAAGTAATGCAAGATCATGCGAGATCAGTGGTGTGAGATCTCACACCACTGATCTCGCATGATCTCACGATAGTTTAGGCCTCTGTTCTATGCAACAGAGAATGGAATAGAAGCCGGGGGAGGCTTTCGCAGGCTTCCAGAGGTATGATCCAGGCATTAAAGGCTTTTCTGGGCCACTGCTGCCCGGAAAGGAGGCCGAGGGATACTTCAGTGGGGCTCTAAAGGCCCAATCTGGGCATCAGAGACCTTTTCCAAGCTGCCGCCGTCCCGAAAGGAGAATGGGGATGGCTTCCAGGGGATCTGGAGGCATGGTCCAGGCATTGGAGGCCTTTTCCGGGTAGCTGCCACCCGAAAAGGAGGCTGGGAGACTCTTCTGTGGACCTCTGGAGGCCCATTCTGGGCCTCAGAGACCTCTCCAGACCTTCGAGGCCCAGAACTGAGGCTGTGGGCAGTGGCTGCATGCTTCCAGAGGTCCATTGTGGGCCTCGGAAGCCTCCCTCTGCTCTTGCCAGGAGCAGAGAAAGAAACAGAGACTGGAGATCTTCACAAATTAAGTGACCTGGCGTGGCAGGATTGGTCAGGGGAGCAATTGTGGAGACCCCAGGGGAGAGAGCATGAGGTATCTCAGTGGGGGAGGGGGTGATCATGTGTTTCATCACTAGGCCCCCATGGCCTTCCCCACCGAGCTGCGCATTTGCCCATTTATTAAATTAGCAAATGCGTGGGCAAAAGCTGAGAATGAATCACGTTCAAAGTACAAGATTCATTCTTATGAATCCTCGAGTTACGAATAGAATGGGCAGGCTCCATTACATTTGTAATTCGAGGATTACCTGTATATCCTGAAATTAAAGTGGTTTAATTTGAAATGCCTACATGAAAAATTGATTCATTGTTTAGATGTCCCATTTATTCTTCAGTAAGACCATAAGGTAGGAATGTTCTCAGTACATTCATGTCATTAAATAACTGCTTTTTTCCAGAAAAACTTTGCCAGAATTAAATTCAATTGGTTTGAACAGATTCCTGAAACAGTTATCAAGCTTGACCTGCTGTGACCATTATTCACTTATAATAAGTGGAATGATTTTGCTGATAAAGAAGGCAGGTTTCCCATACCTATTATAATGAATATAATTATAAGATTCAAACTAAATTGAATTCCTGTCTATACCTGTAACTACATAAAACAAAAATATGAAGCTTATTTCAAAGAAAATAAAATATCAAGCAGTTATCTTGAATCTAACAAGATTTCCACAGTGCTAATTCAGATCACTGAATTACATTTTTGGAAGTTACAGTACAACTATGCCACTTACAGCTTCATCAAAACCCAAATAGAGGAAGTGCTGGTACCACTGCTGTACGTCAGGCTGACTTCTGTCCCAAAGCTGGCGCTTCTGACGCTTCAGATTGTTTAAGAATTCCTTGGCCTTATCTTCTTTTACAGACATCTCTTCCTTGATCAGAACAGGGGCTGAAGCAAAAATCAAAAACACCGACTCTATTAACGGCAACAGCCCTGTAGCTATTTCTAGCAGGTTCATCAGTCATATGTTGTCTACATCGAATACTCAGTGCATGAGGTGAAGAAAACGCCACTGTTAAAAAGTAGTATTTATTTATTTATTTATTTTATGAGACTTATATACCGCTTTAAGTGCAAGCATTCTCTAAGCGTTGTACACCAGTAAGCAATGTATATATATATTTACATTGCCCCCAACAATCTGGGTCCTCATTTTACCTACCCCAGAAGGATGGGAGGCTGAGTCAACCTTGAGCCGGTGAGATTTGAACCGCTGACCTGCTGAACACAGTCAGCTAAAGTGGCCTGCAGTACTGCACTCTAACTGCTGCGCCACCTTGGCTCTTAGTACCCTATGTTATCAGCACAACACAGTCCCTGAATAAAAAATAAATTCTTAATGTACTCTTTTTTTCTCACCCGAGGTCTATGATGATGATCTAGAATCATAGAGCTGGAAGGGACCTTAGAGATCTTGTAGTCCAAACCCTTGCCCAAGCCTGGAATCCTTATACAATCCCAGACAAATGTTTGTCCAATCTTTTTTGAAAATCTCCAGTGATGCATTTGGGAGACAAGCTGTTGTATTAACAAACTATTCTCACTGTCAGGAAATTTCTCCTTAGTTCCAGGTTGAATCTCTCTTTGATGAGCTTCCACCCATTGCTTTTCATCTTTCCCTTAGATGCTATGGAAAATAATTTGACTCCTCTCTTCCCTGTGACAGCCTTTCAAATATTGGAAGACAGCTATCATGTCTCCTCTAAGCCTTCTCTTTGTTAGGCTACATGTACCTAGTTCCCTCAATTGTTTATCGTACATTTAGACTCCAGACTCCTTATCATCTATGTTACTCTTCCCTGAACTCTTTTTAGGGCATCAGCAATTGGGTTTTTTGTTTGTTTCTTTGTTTGTTTGTTTGTTTCTTTGTTTGTTTGTTTGTATCTTGGTGATCAGAACTGGCTGCAGTTTTCCAAGTGTGGCCTCAACCATGCAGTATAGAGCGGTACTATCTCTTCTTGTGATTTTAATGCTATCCCTCTGTTGATGCAGCCTAGAACTGTGTTGTCTTTTTTGACAATTGTAGGACACTTCTTACTCATACATAAGTGGTGATCCACTAGGACACCTAGATCCTCCTCATAGACACTACTTACAACCTGGTTCCAAAGTTTCAACAGCTGCCCATCCCCATACATTTACAGCATCCCATAATTATGTGACTGCATTTTATGACTTTTTGCTAAAAACCAGCATTTTCTGCCCATAGTGAAAATTTTGCTTTATAATTGCAAAGTTCATTTTACAACCACAACAAAAAAGGTCATAAAATCAGATCAGTCACATGGGTGAACCACTTTAAGACCATCACAACTTATAATAAGTAAATTCCATTATTATCATAAATCAACAATTACCTATAAACCAAAAAAATCAAGGTGAGTTATTATGTTTCTTTCTGCACTTTCCATCTGGGCAGGACTGAATTGCTGTTTCTCCCAGTTTGAAGTTCACTGCTCTTTTTAGACCTTGGTATTCATGAAGCTTGGGTTTCTTTTTGCAAATGTTTTATTATCAAACTAGGTAACATTGCCAGGGTTTAATGCAAGGAAGTAATATTTGTTGGCTTTTTATGCATGGCAGATTGTCTATATGTCTTCCACAGGGTTGTTATAGTTTGCGAGCTTGTTTCTGACTGACCTACTGTGCTGGATTATTTCATCTTAGATTGTTTCTGACTATTGTCTTGGCTCTTTCTTATCTATATCTTGATTTGCTAGTTGCAGCATTGATGATGTTACCTTGTTTGGCCATGAAACATTTGCAAGAAAAAAAAACCAAGCACAGTGAACACCAACGTTCTAAATCCCAGCCTGGAGTCACAAATATTTTTCATAATTGTTCATTATTCTCTTCTCAAGAACAGAATTACAGCTTGTATGAAAACAAACTGTTGAAAGTGTTCTAAATCCACACTCCCCACTCTGCAAAGTTTAGTCTGTTATAGTCTTTTGTTAGCTCAGTCATTGATGGGTAGCTTTGCATTTATCCTGAAAAGCTTGAAAAAAGTATATGTCTCATCTCTCTCTGGTGACTTGAAATGACCACCTCTTTTTTTTTTTTTACAGAAAGCAGATTTAGGTGTAGAATTTAGAGGATGGGAATTACTGATTTCCCAAGTCTCTCTCTCTCTCTCTCTCTCTCTCTCTCTCTCTCTCTCTCTCTCTCTCTCTCTCTCTCTCTCCCTCTCCCTCTCCCTCTCCCTCTCTCCCTCTCTCTTTCTCTCTCTCTCTCTCCCTCTCTCTCTCTCTCTCTCTCCCTCTCCCTCTCTCCCTCTCTCTTTCTCTCTCTCTCTCTCTCTCCCTCCCTCCCTCCCCCTTGAGTCAACTAAAATAATGGGAAGAGTTGTACAGGAAACATATGCCAGGGATTTTTTTTTACTTAAGTCACTTTCTCTTAAATTACAGGGAAGAAATTGGACAGGCTGAATATGTAGTTATCTATTTTGAATTATTTTTACAACTAACATGTAAGAGAAGTTGCATCATTTTAAACAGACTTACCTTCTCTTCTCTGAAGAATCAACCTAAGTTTATTTCCCTTTGAAACACCTGAATTAAGAAAAAGCAAAATTAAGTAAAATGTATAAATAATGCACAATTTTCCTATACAATATTACTTTTTAGACACATGCAATTTTGTGACTGATGAACACAAATAATTTTCCTTCTCTGTGCTTCAGTACTTAAAAGAAACTATGGCATAGTATGTGCATTTACAACAAACATGAATGAATAAAATTACAAAATTAATATTTAAAGAAGCTTATCTATTCCAGGAATAGATATATTTGAGAATACCAAGTTTATATTCATGCCCTATGCTTTATTATTAAGGAATCAGTTTCTAGATCTATACATGCACAAAAATGTTGGCATTAACTTGATAAATTAGTAAACAGCAGCACTTTTTTAAGAAAGGAAAAAGAACCATCCACCAATCTTGCCAGAAGCCATCTTTAGAAACAAGCAATTCTCCCTGGATCATTGGGGTAGAGCATGGTGGGTCACAATGGCAACTTTACGACCTATGGACTTCGACTCCCAAGTCATAAAGTTGTCATTGTTGGCCCAGTCCTGGGCTCAGAGTAAAAAGAAGTATTTAAAAAGGCAAAAGCAAGTGGTGATGGATCCAGGCAAAATATTTTTTACTACTCAATACCAATATTCATAAATCTCAGGCCTTCAAGAGGTGTTGAATCATAATTCCCTTATGCATGTTCCCCCCATCCATCCAGCAGGACAGAGCTGAGAGCATCCAGAACAGTGTTTTCAAAACTTGGCCAATTTAAGATGTATAGAGCAGCTCCCAAAATTCTCCAGCCAGCATGGGGAATTCTGGGAGTTGAAGTCTACATATCTTAAAATGACCAAGTTTGAGAAACACTGATCAGTAGGGAAGACAAGCATTATTCTCTTTCACTTATCTCTACTCTATCAAAGGTGATGGTCCAAATGTACCCTTGATATGCAACACTGCCAGCAAAGGTACACAACACCATTTCTTTTTTCTGTTCCAACTGGCCAAAACCCAATACCATAGTGCCCATTGCAGTATTTTTCTTTTTGCCCCCACTGCTGCCAATCATCCTCCTTGAAGCACCCTGAAGGCCAGGCCTTTCTCAGTACCATTAGATCTTCAAGAGCTGAGGAGAAGCAGCACATAACAGCTGGAGCAAAAGGAATTTTGTCTGTCTCCCAGCAGTTACAAATGTGCTGCGGGAGGATGCTCCAGCAGGTGGGGCATTTCTAGAATCTGGAATTACCTCCAAATTATTCCCTTTATTAGCATGAGAGCAAGTCAGGTACGTTCCTCCTCCCTTCCTGTCATTAAGAGAACAATCCCTATTCAATAACGGGGGTGAGTCTCCTGCCTAGTCCCAAAGATGCTTTTTCATGAGGTAACTGGACTTTCTTGGTTTTTTTTTTTTTTTTGTAGTATGCGTGTGTGTTTGTGTGTGTTTTAAGACGTTTCGCTTCTCATCCAAGAAGTTTCTTTAGTTGTGAGCTGAAAAAGCTTCTTGGATGAGAAGCGAAACGTCTTCAAAGAAAATCAAGAAAGCCCAGTCGTCTCGTGAAAAAGCATCTTTGGGACAACCATGACCAGGATGACTGAGAACCTCCATAGACGCCTCCCTCCTAGGTTAAGCGCCCCCTGACGGCCACATGCCACGGCCCCTTTTTCGCCAGTCGCTCGCCGCGCCTCCCAGAGCACGGCGCAGCCTGCCCCGCCACGCCCCTTGCTCGGCTGACTCACCCGGGCTCAGGCAGAGGAGGAGGAAGAGCCCCACCAACGCAGCCAAAGGCGGAGCTGCCCGTTCGGGCCACGAGCGGCGCGGCAGCGGCATCCCGGCGAGTCCTCGGAGGAGCTTGTCCCACGCTGCGCGATCCTTCGGCCACCTGCGGGGAAAAGAACGCGCGCGAGGCGGCTAGTGAGTGGGAAGGAAGCGACGGGAGAGTCCGGCAGGCGATTTCCTTTCACAGTCGACCCAGCGGAGCCTCTCGTTGGCCGCTGCTCCCTCGCAGGCTGGCGGGACGGAAAGCGATTATGGAGCGGAGTGGAAATCGCCTTGGAACGGGAGTAACGTGGCTTGCCAGGTTTCCAAACGTATTCGGCGCCGGAAAAGCCTCCTGACTACAGTTCTAACTATTCCGCCAGCATATCCGAGATGGCGGTTCCAGCCTCAGTTACTGTACACATGGATAAAACGTCCGCAGGGTGGGGACTGTAGAGCTACACAGCAGTTGCCAAATGTACAAAGCAGTGAAAACTGGTCCCCTTTTGGGGGTTTCTCTCTTCATCTTTCCGGCTCATCTCTATTGCTGCCAAACTGCATTCACAAAATGCATGGGGGCACATCAGTGGTGGGATTCATCCAGTTCGCACCACTTTGGTAGAACTGGTAGCTAATTTTTTGTTGCCCAGGTCCAGAATGGACTTCTGAAAGTGGCACCCACACACAGAACCAGTTGTTCACATATCTGAATCCCACCACTGGTGCACATACATACACCATTCAATGTCAATAGAATGTATTAACATCCCCTAACCCAGATCTCTCATCCTGAATCCCCATCGTCCCCTGCCCGCATGCCATGGGTATCCAGGGGGCAATTAAAAGTTATCAAAACAGCAGGCAGGCCAGATATTGAAGCTCCATCCCTTTTTACATGTGTGGGAGGAATGTGAAATAGAAAAAAGTCAGAGGAGCTGATGGTTCTTCAGCCATGGACAATACTTCATTTCTAGGCCATTCAGTTTCTAGGCCATTCAATGCCCCAAGTACAAAATGAATTTATTAATATCTAAGCTGGGCACTCCACCCTACGAAATAGTTGTGCTGTTGGTACTCTTTGAACTTGGTTGCTTCCTTGTAGGTGTTTTATTATCTAGCTAGATAAAGGAAAAGGTGGTTGTAGATGATGACCAACCCAAGAACTCAACCGTTCAACTCAGACATACATATATTTCCTCCTATTGAAAGAAGAAATAGTTCTGCCATTAAATAGTAGTAGGGTTATCAAGAATCTCTTTCAGCAGTGAATTCACTAATACTAGAAAAGTTATATTCTAATTATTTTATAGTGTACCTCCCCCAAAAAATCTAACAGCTAACACTAGAATATTAAAACCATATTAGTAGATACTTGATCCATACAATAGAAAAAAAAAATCTCCTTAGGAAATTGGATAGTTTAGATCTGAAGCAAGTAGAGTTTTTAGGGTTTTTAGAGTTTTCTGACCCAAATATGTCAGAAACAAATGAGTCCTTGAACACCAAAACAAACACATTTAATCCATTTTCTAACTGCAAAAGATTGTGGCAGCCTTTTTGGGTAATTTCATCAGACAAATGTTATTGAGGAGCCCAGTTTCTGGATCTGAAGCCCCATGCTCCTTTTTGATGGGTGTGTATATACAAATCTTTTGGTTTAATTCTTTCTGTGCCCTCATTGGGGAGAAAGGAACTCATATATGGCACCATGTAATTAACCCTGCTTTAATATTCTTTCGTTCTGCAAGGGGCAGTAAATGCCTCATATTCCCCTTAGGATGCATTGTCTCCTTCTAAAATGGAAGTTTTACTTAATAAAGCATTTGTGAAGCTGCATTAAGCTTTAAGCCTAATGCACAAAGTAAGAGAAGCCTGAGCTAGGTAATTGTCTGGAAAATGATAGCTTTCTACGAAACAGCACTTCCAATCTCAGTGCTCTCTTGACTAGGTCCTAATGCAGATGCAGAAATGTATGCCAGGCGAAAAACCAGCTTATAACTAGGGATTTTATTTCAATAGTTAAAGAATCGGCATCAAGAATGGTACCACAGTGATATGAATAGAAGCACCAAAGAAAGATTAATTCTGTGATTGAATTGGGCCAGATTCTTTTCCTAAGCCATAAATATTTCTGTAGAAGACGTTTCTGCTGCTGATTAGCACATATGTTCATGTCAAGGGTGTGATAATGTGCAATTATATTTGGTGTGAATAATTGCTGTAAATTAGAAGCACTAGAATGGAAGGCTCAAGAGCCTTTTTTTCTTTTTGAAGTAAAGAAAGAAGTCATAGTGTTCATCTTCTTGTGAGCATCCCTTTAATAAGGTTACAGTCTGAACTGAATTTATACAGACAGAGTTTAGGATAGGCAGAGATCAGAGTTCAAAATAAACTCTTTAAAAAATAAGAATAAAAACACAATGCAGTATAAGAATATTCCAGTTGGTGACGAATTCATCTGTGGGCAGCATGTGATTAACTTTACCAGCAGTACAAGAGAATTTGATTACAAGCAAGGAAAATAAATCATTACTGAAAATAATAAAAAAGGAAAACCTTTAAAATATTCCCATTAACTTTGACTCAAGAAATTGATGGGAGAATTTCTAAAATATTTTTTTATGATAGCTACCATATTTTGTCCAGTTTTAATTAACTATATAGTGCAGGGCTTTTCAACCTTTTCACCCATTGTACCACTTTTAGGATAAGGCAATATCCGAGTACCACCAGTCGCCCAGCGAGGTGTAAAAAGTTGACCCCCCCCCAAAAAAGGAAAAAATGATAAAGTACAGGTAGTCCTCAACTTACAACAATTTGCATAGTGACTGTTCGAAGTTACAACGGCACTGAAAAAAGTGATTTATGACCATTTTTTACACTTATGACTGTTGCAGCATCCCCAGGGTCATGTGATCATCTTTTTCAACTTTTTGACAAGCAAAGTCAATGGCCGGGAGGGTGTGGCCAGCTGATCACTCAGGTTGCGGGGTGCCTGTGGGGGGGAATCCGTGGGTCTCTGGTGGAGGGGGGTGGGACTGGGGTGGGTGCCTTCCCTCCCTCTCATTGTCTTTTCCTTCTTTCCTCCCTTTCTTCCCTCCCTCTTTGTCCCTTCCTCCTTCCCTCCCTCCCTTCCATTGTCCCTCCTTCCCTCATATCTGTGTGTGTGTGTGTGTGTGTACATATCAGTGTGTCTTGACTAGGGTTCAGTTAGCCTAGGAAGGAAGGAAGGTTGTTTGTGTGCCATGTGTGATATTTATTCCTTTGGCCTGAGGTGAAACTGTCTGAATCCATATAAAGTGTACAGTGCATTGCACTGTGCTTCATATTCCAATGATATGGTATGTATACATGTTGTCAAAAATGTTATTGTCTTTAGAGAATGGGAAGAAGTAGATGAAAATTACAAAAGCTACAGTAGTGTCTGATGAATGCAAAAGCACACATAAACATGCAGGCATTTTCTTTTGTTGTTATTATTGACAATATGTTGAAAAAATATGTGCAGTAAGGGCAGTTACCCACCAATCCTTGTAAATGGTACTATGTGTCTTCCTGAATCTCCCATGGAACAACAAATGTTCCCGTGCAAGATAAAAAATAAAGCATATGTGTGCTTGCTCATGCATGCACACACTTTGTGACAATAAGGTCTGAGCCTGCATAAATGGTTAATGGCCTGTTGCTATTTGTGTACAAATACAGGTATGAAAAGGGCACTGGTAAGGAATGAAACAGGATGAAAAGAACAAAGGTGCAGAAAGGAAATTTGGTGACAGATGAAAAGAAGGGAGGGAGGAGAGTTGAGGAAAGGGGTACGTTTAAGATAATGTGGCATTCACAAAAGAGGGAACGTTATGGCAATAATTTTGTGAATGCTATGGAGATACAGCATGTTACAAGAATGGAAGAAGGCTATGTTGGGATAGAAAGTTAAAAAAAAGGATACCAGTACTTTTTTTATGTAAGAAAAAAGGAGCCCGAACTCAGTCAGCCCCCTCCCCCCCCCAGCCAGGCCATTCCTTTTTTTTTTTAAACAAAATTTTATTAAATTTATATAGGTAAGGAAAAATAGGAAGAATACAGGTATGGTAAAGAGAAGGGTAAAAGGATAGGGGGAGGGGTAGGAAATAACGAATTAGGGTAAAATAAGGATAGGTACAATCACATATTTCAACAAACAAGCAACCGTCCAGTTCATAATAATGAGTAAGTATCATATTCAACCATTTTTAACAAAGCTTAAACTATAACATATTAAAAATAATTAGTAAACAAATACATTGATCTATTAAGTAAACTAATAAAATCACAAAAAAATAAATCCTAACAATCAAAAATAACAAATGAAAATGAGTAAATCAGGAAAAGTAATTGTATCATCAAAATGTTAGTTAGAACTCGATTAAAAATCAGTCATCTATTCTAAAATATTAAATCCTTCAAGTTCTAATGTGTCTCTAACCATTGATAAAAAATTTTCCCAAGTTCTAAAATAAATTGAATCATCTTTTTCTTTCATTTCTAATGTTAGTCTATCCATTTCTGCACACTCTAGAATTTTGGTAATAATAATCTGGTCAGATGGTAGATTCTCATTTTTCCAAAATTGGGCAAATGCTATCCTTGCAGCAGTTAAAACATGCAATATCAAGTAGTCATTCTCTTTACCATAATTAGGTCTTAATATTCCTAACAAAAACAATTCTGGTTTAAATTCTATTTGTAGTTTCATCATCTTTTCCATCTATGAATCTTAGACCAATATTTCTTAGCGATAGGGCATGTCCACCAGGCATGGTAATAAGTGCCTGGCTGTTCTTTACATTTCCAGCAAATATCCGAAACATTTTTAAACATTTTCGCTAAGCGAACTGGTGTCATATGCCATCTATAGAACATCTTACATAAGTTTTCTTTATATGCTACCGCTTTTGTAAGCTTAATGTTTTTATCCCAAAGTTTTTGCCTGTCTTCCAAATCTATAGAATATCCGAAGTTCTTTGCCCATACTATCATTGTTTCTTTCACTTGTTCTTCCATCTTCCAGTTTAGAAGAAATTTATAGAGTTTTCTAATCAAATTTTCATCTGTTTTTAACAAAATTTTATCCAATGGGTTCTGTTCTTTGTAAAAAACCTATTGATTTTATATCTTTTTCGTATCTTGTTATAATTTGCAAGTAGGACCACCATGTCAAATCAATACCTTGTAGTTGTAAAGTTTGCCTGTCCTTAAGTTTTCCCTCTTTATCTAAAATGTCTTTATAACTAACCAGTTTGTCATAATCAGATTTGGATAAGCAAATGCTTCCATTGTTGAAAGCCACTCAGGTATTTTCATGTATATTTTATGTTTAATTTTCTCCCATTCTGAAAGTAGTACATTTCTTATCGC